GTTCCAACGGTCTTGTAGAAAAACTTGTTCACACTGTAAAAATTAAATTATTAGCAATGTCACTAGAACAACAAAAACCTACCTTGCAATTCGCTATCTCGAAAATTATTTGGAACTTACGATCTTCCTTCCAATCAAAAATAAAATGTTCACCATTCGAAATACATTTTAATAGAAAACCGAACACGATCTGGAAACATTTGGCATCTAGTAATTTATCCGGTGGATTTTTAGACAAAGGGAAGTCAATCCTAAGCAAAGAAAGGGCCCCTGACTGGAACGCGGACGATCGGATAGAAGACGGGTACAAAGACTGTTTAGTACCAAAGAATAACCAGTCACCGCTTGAGAAAGGGTACGACTCAGACCATCCTGCAGATTCAAAATCTTCTTGTTCCCGAGTGTCTCTAAACAGCCCGTTTAAAGGTTATTTACTCCAAAAGACCAATGGAAGTATTAACGGAAATCCCTTCTATAAACAATTGGGTCAGAAAGTAATAAACTCAACAAAATCTACGGTCGAACTATCCAACGGAAAAATCATTAGAAAATCGGACATCGCCATCCCAAAGTCTAAATCCTCTACAATCCGTTCATTCAAAGGAAATATTTCTTTTCCTTCTTTTATTAACACTGATTTACAAGTAGGTTCAAGAAAGACTAACAAAACAAAGCCCCAACAGACGCGAAACTAGGCCCTAAAACGAGACGACAAATAGAGCTTCCTACCCCGGTCTCCACTAGGTCCAGAGGGATAAACCAACCAACTAAACCCAACAAGTCAAAACGAACCCGAAATAAAGCCTCGACGTCTAACACTGGATAATTAGCAGGTGACGAATTCATGTTCATTCCGTCGGATACATCTGACATTAGTGATTGGGAGTGGATCGCGGGTGGTTTCCCATGCAGGGAAATGTTAAGAGAACTTTCATTTCGGATAACCCCATTTTTAACGAAGAACCTACCTCATCATTAGATCCTCAAACATATCAATCGTGAGATTTTAGACAAACAACTTCAATCGTCGGACACAGCGGAATGTCCAATCAGTATAAAACCAGCCACCCAAACTACTTCAGACTCAGCGAACAAACCTCCTACTACTGCGACATCGGAGGGACCAAACGCTCCGTTGGATACAACGAAGGAATCGGAGGGAGAAATCCTATTGAATTTCCAGTCTTCGAGATAAAAGACTCCTCTGATGAAAACGCGATTACTGAGGAAAGGCATCCTAAGGAGACTATTATCACCGGTAATGACTTTAAATTAAAACGTTCAAGTCGAAATGTCGGACCTCCCCAATTTTATGGTAAACGTTTGTACATAGATATTATAGATGAGAACGAAAACCAACCAGGCTCCGCAAAAAACCCAATACCTCGTCAACTTTGAGCCCCAGTTGAGGCTGACATGGAGGGATGCACAGTTATGAGAAATATCGGGAGCATGGCCGAAGCGTAATTTAGGGAAGCAAATTATTAATTTAAAAAAAATTCAACAAGACTGCTCGTATCAGGGTGAAGCCTTTAAGATTCCGACTGCCTCTTAAGGTTTATGGAGCAGTAATAACATAAATATCATTAACATATTAAATATAAGAAAAAAATGAAAAAATTTTTTTTTCAAAAATTTGAAATATTTTCTATGAAAATCATCCCCACACGCCATATAAACTATAAAAAATAGATTTCGCTCCTTGTAAGAAATCAATGGCAAATAAAATTCTTTCAAACAATTTGGAACGATTTCTGAGACGGATTTAATCTCCGCTTACACGTTAATAGCGCGAAATATATCGTGCGTTAATTGTCCCTGTTGCGAATCATACCATTCTTTTTACTTCATTTAATTAGTTTTAAATTACTTTGACTGGTTAATTTATATTTGACCTTGGTAAGTTCATTCTCTCCGGCGGAGAGAATGATATCTCACAGTTTTTAATGTTTTAATACAGCGATAAATTCACTTTTTAAACATATCTTATTTGTAACTAAGTAGAATTATCCGCAATAAAGAAATATTTTATCATTCCCAAATTGGCTAAAATGCCAATCTTTAAACCCCCATAATTTTAGGAAAAATAATCACAGGTGAAATATTGTTTAAAATTTAAGCTCAGGACAACAATACCTTTTGAATGTTTTTTAAAAATTTTGTCAAATAAGGCTAGATAAAAAGTCGAAATTTGTCTGAAGAAAAAAATCCACCCCGAGCACAAATATTCCGTTACTTTCTTGACGAAAGTCAGAACGATAAATAAAAAAGTCAAAGCGCAACGAGTAATGTGAAATTGGTCTTTTCACGAAAATTCTATATTTATTGTCATTTTTGTCTAAACTCTTTTGTTCAAGTTTGAATTTGTTCGGGAGTTAATGTTTCATACAAATTACAATTTCGATCGCCAAATTTTTTGTGAAAAAAGCGAACTTTAAACACAAGCACAACCAAAGTCCACAATCTTTTATTTTAGATTTAATTAGTTGCTTACAGACTTCTGAATGCTTACACAACTAATTTATTTAAACTTCATTTTTTATTTTAATATATTTTTTGGTAAGCAATAGCAATAGGTACATCTTAAAGAACATTGGTTTTCTATGCTTTCATGCTTTTCTCATTTTCCCTCGCTTTGAAAAACAATGAGAAATCTCTTTTGTGAGATTTTGCAGAGGATCTGCGAGAGCCTAGCAGACAATTTTAAAGGCACAGAACATACCAAACTAAAAAAAGATATGCGATTTACTTTGAAAAAGAATGCAAAGTCGGGGGCGGATTTAGGAAGGGGGCGGGGGGGGGGTAGGCGGACGCTTTCTTCCAGGGATTCGACCCCCTGCCGACCCAAAGGGTCCCCCCTTTGGTACTTTTAAGAAATCAAGTTTTGGCCGACCAACCTTAAAATTTTTCTAAAGGCGCCTTTGGCGCCGGCGCCAATATATACTAATTTTGAGGGGGGAGCGCGCGCCGAAAAAACGTAATTTTTCGGTCAAAATTTTCCAAAAAATGCCTAAAAACGCCTTTTTCGGCCTATTTTTTCAAAATTTTGCCTGCAGCGCAAAAAATGTGGCCAAAATAGGGTCAAAGCAGTGCTTTGGAAGAGCTCGAGAAATCAATTTGGTCGACCTAAAAAAAAGGTCTACTGAGAGTAGAAAGTCTACGAATGAGAGTAGATCCTAGCTAGAATGAAAGTATTTCTTGCAAGTTTTCTTGCAAGATATTTTGCAAGAGTTGCAGTCCTCGATCACTGGGGCTAGCAGGAGAGATTAGTTCAACCAAACATTTTGACCAAAGTCTAATTAATGGCAGTGATTTTCGTACACCGTAGACTCTTAGTTGCACAACTGCACTTTCTTGAAATTCAGTGTCTCTGTATAATTCGAGAACTTCGGCTTCGGTATCAATAAACCCATTCAGAAAATAAAGTTAAATTTGCTAATCAAAACTTGCTCCAACGAAATTTTGTAGTTTAAAAGAGAAAATAAAAAAAGCAAAAAATTTTAATGCGAACAACATCACAATTTTGGATAGACTAAGGGCATATTCAATACGCACTTGAAAAAAATTAAAACTTAAATTTTAAAACAATAAATTATAAATACTTTGACAAAAATACAAAAAAATTATCAAAAGTCACAAAATTGTTGATATCTCAAAAAACAAGCCATGCCGGAAGAATTCAGTTTCTGTGCTAGATTCCCAAACCGTGAAGATGGTATGATAGCATTAGACCAGCCATCTTATGATGACGGCTCTAAGGAAGTTTGTTCAATAATTTCTCCAATTTCGTTAAAATGCTGTTTTCTCGATAACTATCAACGTTACGTTTGATTGGTCAAATTGTAGGGGCAAAATTTCCATACTACAACGCTATAATGTGGGTCTAATAGCATCCAACCACTAGGGATGGGTTTTTAATAAACGGCAAGCGAAGTCTAGTTTGCAAAATACGCTTGTAAGATCATAATTCCCCATAATATGGTTTTCTTTCATTTTTTAAAGAGAAACGGGTTCTTCATTTTTGTCAAGGACCCAAGATTAGATTGCATCAACATGATTTTTGCTTAATTTTGCAGAAAAAATTTGATATAGCCATCTATTTCATCTCTTATTTTTATATGAACAGGTTTAACATAATGATTAGAAAACTTATTGAATACAATCCATTTAAGGAACGCATGCAAAATTTTAGAAATACATTTAAAACTTTTAAGCGTTCAATATTTTTTTTGAAAAAAAAATCCGGAAACGTTGTCAAATTCGCGCTCAAAAAGAAACATACGTAGAATTATTTTCTCAATGCCTGAATTTGACTGTGAAAATTACTTTATAATCTACTTTCAATTAAAAATTTTAAATTTTGTTGTTAATGGAAAAAATAGAAATGGAAATTAAGTATCGAAAGCTTACTGAATTTTGCATTTTTCGAGGAATTTTTTCAATCGAGGAACCATATTGCTATTGAAGTATGTGTTAATTGAAACTAATTATTTTTATCAAAACTCATTTATTATAATATCAAAAATTGAGAACTCTTCCTTTTAATTTTATTGAATGAATTGCTTTTTTTTCAGTTTTTCACCTATCAGCTTACATAGCTCAAATTCAATAATTTTTGTAGCATGTTCTTGTAGCGAAGTTAGCTTTTGTCGCAAAATTTTAGGCAGTTTTTTGTATATTTTTTAAGCAAAATCAAAATCAAAATTCTCGCTAATTTTTATCAAGATCTTTTTCGGCTCTATGTACTTTGTTTTTTTCTTTCAAAAAAAACCAAACTTTTTGAGACTTTTTTATTATAACAGATTTTAAATAGCTTGGATCCTTGCAAGATGACAAGTATCTTTGGAAACGTATATACCAAAGATATGATACGTCTTCAATTGATGAGCTATAGAGCATGATGAATAATCTCCCTAATATTTCTTACTTTTCTATTGTGAAATACAACGATGCGATCTGTCAATACTACTGAAAAGGAAATAATTAATTTTTTAACTAACCGAACTGAGTACCCTGAAGATGACGATCGAGTTTCCGAACAGAAACAGAAGTCCAATTATCATCAGAACAGGGTGCCAATTGAACTGAGAGTAAGAACCATCCCACGCGAATCCCTCTTGGTATTTTGTGACCCAGACAACCACAAACACAACTGCCGCTACGCCTATCAATTCGGTCACTGCAAAAACTGGATATTTCAGCCATTCTCGTTGGTAACAATGACTTGCCGAATCCGCGTTTGCTCTATCCATTTTGGAAATTTAATTTTTGAAAGAGTAAAAACTCTAGTAAGAATGCAATTAAGTTCACTTTTTTCAGCGAGCGATACTTGTGATAAGCGTGCAAATTAGTGCAATGGTAACTGTGTTCAAGTTAAGACCATAATGATACTGAGCTTACGTTTTTATAAACATGAAGACAAACAGACGCTAGTGGCAGATTTGTTACAACATGTAATAAACAATCTATCAGAGCCGAAACTGAAGAAACCAAGATTAAACATGAACAATAAACGAGACTGCGAAACGAGACTGCAAGACTGATCAGATTTCTCTTTGACGCGTCTCAAAGATTTCTTCGTTTTCTCGAAACTTTTAAACTAAAATAGTTTTTGGGGATTTTTTTCTTATGGTAACTTTGCACTTAACAAGCAAAATTGAGTAATTTCCATCGGTCAGTTTGGAATGATATCTGAGCCGGACGACATGTTGTCTTACGTGTTGGGCACATCAAATGAATGTTTAAATAAAAATTTCCGATAAAAAATTGCTTTATTTTAATTCCAAAAATCTTTTTCTTCAAGGTATTTTTTTTCAATGAATTTATTGAAACTCTAACCGAAAAAATCAAAAACGTATAAAATATGAGGCTATTTAAACTACAAGCTTTTTAATCATAAATATATGACAACTTTGCATGAGTGGAACAAATGCAAAAAAATAATGGATGGCAATTAAAGGTTTTTTAATAATCAATTTTACAACTTTAAAAAACCTTCATTAATATTGCGAAAAATTCAAAGAGAAATAAATATGAGTAAAATTAAACTCAAAGTGAGGTAGTGTTTTTTGAAATTGATAAAGAAAATTTAAATGAAAGTCCGGCATCTTTTCATTCAATTACTATCATTCAATTCATTGGTTTTGTATCGATTATCTCAAATTGCATTCAATTCCTTCCTAAGCAACGTTATTGAATTTTAAAACTTTGACTATTTACTGAAGGAAATTTTACACTCTACTGTTGTAGCCTTAGATCGAGGCAATGCTCTACTCGCGCCCACTTACACAAAACATTTTTATTTGTAAAATAGCCCAACAATTCCTTCAAAATTTAGACCTGACTGCTTTTTGGGCGCCTATTTATATACTATGCGCCAACTTTCGACAAAAACTCTAAATGAAATTTAAAAAAATAACGGCATCGCTCATGTGGGTCGCCAAAGATTTCCTCAGCATTAGTAAAAAAAAATCGGCTTTTCAAAAGTGAACTTCAATTTTTTGATTGTTGACTATCTTCAGTCCCCAATAAACCGAAAACAAATTTAACATTCAGCTTTCTCTTTCTTGGAGAAAAAGATTTGCGAGAAATTATCGTCGGCATTTTTGTTTTTTCAGTCAATTTTTTTGAAATCAAAGTTTTTGAAATCTGAGCAAGAAGTTTCCGGCAAAAAAATGATAACCAAAGAAAATATACAATTTCAGGGCTCAAACTTTTACAAGGTACAGGAGTGAAATTACATCTTGAATTAAAAAGCAAATGATGCAAAAAATTTCCCTGACGTTGCAACTAAGCAAACGAAACAAAAACTGTCAAACAAAAAAATCCCACAATTCAATTTTTCCGGAAAAAACTGAAACTTCATACATACTGAAAAAGCAAAGCACGTCCTGGAGTCGAACCCACAGGCATAAGGGTACAAAGGGAAACGCATTACATCTACGCCAATTAGAATTGAGCCCGGAAGTTGTTAAGATACAATAAAAAAGTAAGTAAGAAAAGCAAGCAGGATTTGTAAGCAAAGAGAAAAGTCTGGTTCCCAATTACAAGATACTTGCTCTCACGTGTCTAATAATAGGAGACTATAAAAAATTTTTTTGCATGCAGCTCTTCAAAAGTAAGCTGTCTGTTAATCTTTATAATGTTTTTCTATTTGAGCTTCAGTTATAGTTAGAGTTATGGTCGTCCCTACAAGTCTTGACAATTACTTGGTACCCCCTTGGCAAGGTCCTAACTGAATTCTTCCACTGACGACACTAGTCCTAAATTCCAAGTTCATTATTGGTATCTGTAATCAAGTTGTGCAAATATCAAGTCCAATTTCACCTCCAAATTTATTTTTAATTTATCAATCTCCGAAGTCTTTTGTTCAATTAACCCATTAGAATTAACAATTTTCCATTAGTTATTACCATAAAGATCAATCTCGCGAGATCAGGTTTGATGTGCTATGCAATACGGGAAAATTTGCTTTGTTGTGAAGGAATTTCAGTTAGAGTACCTAAGTTCTTTTTTGAAGGCCCAAAAAAACTATTTGTGTACCCTATGTATACCCGGCAACTTAAAATACTAATTTTCAAGCAATGAGTACTCAGTTGATACTACTTTTAAATTTCTCAAATTCTTACATTTTTGCAAGTTAAACTTGAAATTTTGCAGCATTAAATTCTGCCTAGACAAAAGTTGGTTTGGTTTTCTGTTCCATTTTTAATTGTTTATTTAAAAGTTCGAAAAAAATTTAAATTGAAGTGTAATAATCGTGCATATAGCAACAATCAATAAGTGACAGTCCAATGAGCAACTTTTTCACGATCGAGGTTTTCGTCAGGTAGCGACTGTGTTTGAAGCTTCTAGTTCGGATCTCTTAGCATCCGGGAGTAATGAGTTCTCGGTGATTCTGAAACAAAACTCAGTCAACATTTCAGATCAAAAATTTTTCGACAATCAAAATTTTGGAACTCGGTTATGAATTCGAAGATTTTTTACGATCTTTTTTACCCTAAAATGTCAATGCGGATGGACAACGGCTAACTTTTTTTACCGCCAAAATTTGCAAAAGTAAGTATTCAGCAAAGAACAAATTATTACGACTGGAATTATTTTATCTCAATACTTTGCAAAATCAATCATTATTCAAATTGGTCAAAGCTGTTCAATTTTTTTCTTGGACGAAGGTTACTTACAGTTTCGAGTTGGCGACCTGCAACATCCCTCTTTTCAAATCGAGTCTAAATAGGATTAGGTCATTTTAACTTTCTGAATATAATGCCAACCTAAACTAATCATGATAACAAAACGATACAAAAATAACATTTTTTTTTGGTGCCAATACATAAAGCAACAGCTTTAACTTTTAGTTTTCCATTGCTTGACGTAAGAATAAAACAATGTATTGAAACGAAAACAAAAAATAAAAAAGTTAATCATCTTTTTAGATGTTCTTTTTTCGATAGTTAGAAAATTTTTATGAAAATTTTTCACCACAGATTAATTCCAAGCTGAAAGGCTTTTAATATGCTAGTCGTTCAATTTCCTAAGACTATTCTTTGGGGTAACTGATTTTGGCGTCAAAAAATTGGAAGTCAAAGTTTCCTGGCATTTTCAGCAGCCAGAACGTTAAATTATAATCTGTTTTCAAGACCTCTCGACTTTTGCTGAGTTTCCATTATTGTCATAGTTTCTCAAAATGCTTAGCAAGTTTCATATGTCCTTTCAAAAGCTAAACTATACTTCACTTTGATTAACCGAGGGTTAGGGGACGTCTCGTTGCTTGAAGGATAGGGGGCATTACTAGCTCAGAAAAAAATAGCTTGTAATTATTAAGCAGGGGCGCAGCAGCGGATCTCCGTGAAAGATCTGAACAGCGAGTGCCTCGTTCCTTTCCCTTGTGGATAAATCGTCTTAACTTGATTATTCTATTTAATTTTTAAAAGCTAAATTAATTTTAAAAAGGTATAAATAATTTTAAAAAGCGAACCGCCTCGACTCTGGAGTTCCTGCCGAGTGCGTCTGCCTTCTCGGTCTTGTAAGCACTCTGGTGTCGGTAGAACACCCCCGGAACCACCTCGCTACTCGTCCCGCTCAGAGTCGCCTCCGGAAGCATCACAACGGAGCCACCTCCACACACTGAGAACCTCTGCTCCTGCTGCACTTCGCTTTTGGACGAGAAAGACATTTTAGATTGCTTTTTAGACTGATTTGTACCGGATTAATTAGGCTAATTAATAGGTTTCGGTTACGAGTTGTGAAGTTGATAATGAAATTCAGGGAACTTTGTTCCTTTATATAGCGAGAATATCCATTGTTCTCCTTAGTTTATTGATTGAGTAACAAAGAGTGAATACCTTTAGGGTCAATTTGGTAAATTTAATGAGTCTGCTAGCTATATGATCAGACAATGATAGTGTCATAATTATGCTGATTCATTTTCAAAAGATTTTAAAAGAGCAGAAGGTTTTACTTGGGAGGAGATTGAGTGTAAATTGACCCTTTCTTCGTTCCAATTTGCCAAAAAAAATTAAAAATAGCTTTTTGCTGAAAAGGTTGAAATCTATAGTTGGGATAAAAAGTCTTGTGCAAAATCTGCCATTATTAGATTTAACTTATGGAATAATCAAAAATAATGTTTTTATGACGAAAAACGTTTGCTGAATTTTTAGACATTTTTTTGAGAAAACGTAAAAAAATGATAGCACACGGGTTACTTATCCATGGAAATTCAACACTGGCAAGGGAAAACCCATGTCAAAGTCTTGCAGGGATTGCCCTGGACTTCCTGGATTGGTCTAAGAGTCTAGGGCTGGTTTTCAAATACTTTTTCTAGGAACTGCCAGGTTTTTTTTGGCAAGAAAAACTATGTCGGCTAATGCCAATAAACTTCTTGAAGTAGCTATAAGGTAAAAACAAGTTACAAACTTGAAAATACCCAAAAGCTAAATTTGAGCCCAGTGAGTACGCTGAAGATAAAAGGTATTGAGACAAAAACGGATCTGAGATCTTCTTGAAGAGGTGGGTTTTTTTCAAAAGAAGCATTTTGGTTGTTAATTTTGGTGGGTTGACCAAATGAGAATTTTTTTCTCTCCCAGAACGTTAAAAATACTTTTTTGTGAGTTTTTTCTGAAACTCTAAGAAAAGTTTTTGTTTTGTGGAATTTCAAATGTAGTTTTTCGTGATAGCAATTCTGGTGGTATATTTCTGCTTAGAGTTTATGGAAGAGCAAGGTTTTTTCCTGCTGTCCAGTCTATGTGGAGATTGGGAAACTCTATTAAAAATAAATGAAATCTTTATACTTTTTGATTTGAGTTTGATTTTTGTGTGAAAAGAAACATTATTGGCTTATGGTCTGTGAATAGAACAGTTGGAATTTTTTTTACAAGGACTAAAAATCCATGTTCTCTTAATGTATATATGATAGCTTTACATTCTCTCATTAAAGTGGAGAGTCTCAATTCTGCTTGAGTGAATAGTCCAAAATTTGCTGAAGTGAGGTTCATTTTATTTGTTTCTTGATGTGATTCTAAAAGTGCTGCACCTATTCCGAAATTGGATGCGTCGCACGACATAAAATGGTTGGCTAGGATGGGGAACTGTGTTTGATATTTGTTCACTTATGGGTTTTTAAATTTCGACAAATCTTTTTTAATGTTCTATGGTCTATTCAAAAATGTTCTGATATCGTAAAATGTTATAGCAAATATCCCGTAACGCAAATATCCCGTTACACAACTAGTGTAAGCAAACTATCCCGTTATGCATATATCCCGTTAGGCAACTAGTGCAAGCAAACAACATCTTGGCAAAGTCAGCAAAAGAGAATTGTCAGCTGATTCCATAATGGGTTTGGAAATTCCGCAAACTGAAGCAGACGGCAAAATGTAACCGGATTTGCAAAGTGTAGCATACTCAACAAGCAAACTGTGAGCATATTCAACAAGAATTGGGGTGTGAATATTTCAGAGGCAAGTAGAGCCAGTTTGGGGGTGAACAGCAAGGTGCTATACTACAATCTAAGTTATAACCTAACCATAGTTTGTGGTTAAGTCACATCTATAAACAAATCCTCAAGTTTTATTCAACTCAAGTCATTGATGCATCCCCTTTGTAATCAACTTCGACTGAAGCTAACGCTAAATACTAACTTAGCAAAAAAGGACCGACCATTTGCCGTGAAGAAAAGCCAAGGGTAGTTAAAACTGTGACTGTTGGTTTCCTAGTTTGCGACCCTTATTTTTTAAATTGCTACACTTGGCAAATATTTTTAACCTTGGCAACACATTTCCAAAATAATTGCACTTTAATAATTCTGGTAAAATTTACAGCATTTTGTTTTTATCGCTATTATATGACTTAAAATTTAGCTAAATACGAATTGCACTATAAAAACTCTGGTAAAATTTTAAGTTTTTTTGTTTTTATTGATTTTTGTTTAAAGCCAACTAAGTTGAGAAAATAATTTCTATTCTGCTTCGCTAAGTCCGGATAAATAAAAGCAGCATTGTAGAACAGGCTAGGTTGAAATAATTCTAATTTTTTATCAAAACACAGAAAATTATTGCGATCCGGATCAATTTAACAGCAATTTAAATTCGGGAGATCAGACAAGGCCATTGTTACGTTTCACATTTCATTACTCATTGTTCCGATTTTTGAAACAAAAGTAACGGAATATTTTTGCTCGGATGGGTTTTTTTTTTCTTCAGACAAATTTCGACTTTTTAACTAACCATTTTTGACGGAATTTTTAATTCAAAAGGTATTGTTGTTTTGAGCTTAAATTTGAAAAGATATTTCACCTGTGATCATTTTTTGTTAAGTTATGGGGGTTTAAAGAATATTAAAAATAGCGAAAAAAAAGTGAAAAAAAACAGCGATCGCCATCGATGAATTATCGATGTTCATTGCCACAATAGCAAATGAGTTCCAAATCAGGAGTGGATTGGGCGTCAGCCTTTACTAATTTTGAAGAGGAGCAAAAAAACACGATTTGTTGGTCAACGTGACTCAAAACGTGCCATAAACATTTCTTTTGGCCTGTATTTTTTTAAATTCGACTGTATTGTAGAAAGAATTCCGCAGATCAGGGTCTCTACAGTATAATGGGAGGCCTCCTCAAAAATTATTTTGCTCGACCTAAGAAAAGGTCGACTCAATTTTCCAAAATATTATAAACACTTTATTTCAGTCAAAAGTCTTATCTTTAAGAAAATTTAGAAATCGAACAGCAATAACTAACTAGGAAACCTGCAGCTACTTTCGATGCTACTTAACTAATGCCATTCAAAAACATAATTAGACAAAATAACTGTGAGTTTTCAGTTCATTTATTATCTACGCATGATTTAATTAAGATATCAACCAAGAGTTTCTCGAAAATAAGCTGAGCAGTTTGACCTCTTCCTTTCCACCTCCTCACCCGCAAATTTCTAATTGTGAAACTAGCTCATAAAACCCGATTGCTACAAAAAATGGCATATGGCACACGGACTAATAAGACTATTAAAAACATATTTGCTTTCATTTATTACTTTATAAAAAAATCATTACACCATAGAAAATCGATGCTTATGAGTTGAGGGGAAGGGAGTTGGGGAGAGGAGAGGAAAAAGAGCAAACAGTTTAGGCAGTTTTAGCATCACAGTTTGTATGCATCTGGCAACCATCAGGAACTCATCATGGCCTTAACGAACTCTTCGAAGTCCACAGCCCCGTCCTGGTTGAGGTCCACCTCCTGCATAATCTCTTTGATCTCTTCCTCTGTCGCATTGTCACCCAATTTGGCCATGGCAATCTGCAGTTCCCCCACTGATATCTTCCCGTCTCCATCTGTGTCGAAGATCTTGAACGCCTCACGCAATTCCTAAAATTATACATATTGGTAGGTTTTGGAGGAGGATGAGATGATTTGGTGTTATTTTGAGTAGGAAATTAATTAGCTTTTACTTTCTCAACTTTCTCGATATATTAAAAAAAGTTTTCCCTTGGTCCAAAATTTTGAGCTGCATGTATTTTCCTGAGATCTGCAAAAGTAAGGTTTTCGCTTTGAGAAGCTTTTCTGCTTTTTTGAAACATTTTGTCAAAATGTTTGAAGCATGAATTGTATTGGAAATTCTAGTGACTACGTAGAACTTTCCCGAAACCACTGGACTTTTTAAAATAAACCTGGAAAACTTTGCAATATGTTATATGCTCGAAAAGCTGATATTGAAATACTAAAAAACTCAGTAATGGTTATGCAGAACACAGAAAGAACCCGACCAAAGGTTCCACGTGACAATCAACATCTCCAGAGGTTCATATGAATAACACGGGACCCGACTAACGGTTCCACAGCACAACCAACTTCAAAAAATCAGGCAAGATCCATTTTTATAACATTTTTTTTCATCTCAAAATCCATATTTGTGCTCAAACCAAAAAATTCAAGGTCCTGCTACAAAACATTTTAAACCCATAATTGAGCTAAAAAGTTTTACTCAAACTCGTGCTATAAATCCAATCCACACTTGTTAAAATATTAAACATAGATCTGCAACAAAAATCAGAAAATCTCCAACTTTGAATGTGAAGTGTTTCTCATTCGAACATTTGTAATTGTTAATTTTGTCCTCGGGGTACCAAGCTAGAACTTGAGCAAAAAAACAGGTTTCCCCATATACAAAAGAAAACTACAAGTCAGAACCCGATAACCAAAAATTTTTAGCCCAAAACTTGTCCTTCAAATTATCAAAAACCAAATTATTTCCGTAGCCTTTTGTTTAACTTACAACTAAAAATGGTTTTACTGAGCACATCTACGAAAAAATTTACAAAGTTTCTTGAAAATCAAAATTTTCTATTTTAATTGAACACCAAAAAAAACTTAAAAGTTCCCCCGTTTTGGCTTTAACAAAATTTAAATGCGCTCATGACTGCGTGAGCTGTAGCTACTTTAATTAATTAACCACCGGGTTAATTCTATGGCCGGTTGTCTTTAACAAAAAAAGTAGTCGTAACTTATAATAACACTTTTATGAAAGCTCACAAAGCTTCACGTAACGGAAATACTAAGCGATCGCTACGACCGGAGCTCTTAAAAACTAATCTTCAAACTACCTTCCTTAATGGCTTCAACAAAGTCAACCTTACAACAACTACCTAATCATTAGACACGCCGATACAGTACTTTAGAAGAGCTTGAGCAAAAAGTAACGAGACAAGTAGCCAAATCAAGCAATATCTAGTACGTTAAGCTTAATTTTGTGGAGATAACCACTTGTTTCGATCTGCTCGAGAAACTCGCAGACGACATGGCCCCGTTTTTCTTCCAGGAAGCACAAGAATGCCTCGACACTGCTTGAACGCTACGAAAACAGAAGTGCGACCTACTCATCATTACGGAAGTACAAAAAGGTCTTAACAAACATTGGTTCAATTTCCATAAGATCAATCAGCTCACTAGAGTGCAAAGCACATCTGCAACAGCCAGTGTACCAGTAAGAAGCTCAAATACTACTGAAAACATGGCCCACAGCGTCATCAACCACCCGATCTCGTAAAATCGATAGGGCTGCCGACTTTTCAACTTACAAGCCCACATACGGTTTGCGTACTTTCGATTTTGACGCTCTTCAACGCTACAGTTTCCAACTTCTACCAGGAACCAACATAGTTACAGATCAGACAATCAACAGTGTAACCGCTACCTCTGCAGCTGATCTCAGATCAAACTCACCTACTCGAAACTTGGGTGCTTTCAACTTTCGCGCTTTTATACGATACAACTTCTCGCCTCCACCAGTTTCCAATGAATACCCCATTTCGAATTACAACTCAACACACGAAGCCCAGATGTCAACTGGCAATAAGCGATCTGGTCTGCTAACAACTTCATTTGCGAAAAACCTTGTTACTACATCTGAACAAGTCGTTGCTAACCACTTCAACGACCACCATAGGACTAACTCGCAATCACACAATCATCAACGCAACAGTCTTTTCGGCAATGATCAAAGACAAGTCAGCAAACTCGTTAACAATCATCCGACTACTGGCCTGAACTACAGTTTGAAAGGATTCAAGTTACCGGATACAAAATACAGATACAATTTGGCCACCACATGAGAGGAATAATTGGTTCAAACTCTTTCCGACTAAATAGGCAACAACATACGTCTAAGCCCGTTTGAGAAAAATACTTACCTGCGGTCAACCTGCACTGATAAGGCTAAATCCTTGATAGAGAGCTATGGAACCAACTCTTCTCAAAAGAACAGGCAATACTTGAATTATCGCGTAGATACGGTAACCTCGGGTATGTGGCGTCAGTGTTCATCAGGGAACTCAAAATGTTTGACAAATCGATACTAAGCAAACCACAGGGCTTTATCGGATACGCTGCTTTCCTACGGATACTAATTCACAATTTCGAACTTAGCGGCTGAACCGCTGATCTGTACTCAAGTAGCCTGATTGTCTTGCTCGCTCAAAGCTCCCAGTAAAACTACTAATGTAGTTGGAAGAACACTGCGTGCTTTGATTACGCTACACTCAGAGACTTAACGCAGTACCTGAATAACTACTCGCGAGCATGGGAGAATCTAAGAGACCATCGACATTAAACCCAGCGGGACGAAATCTCCAACCAACGCAACAACAACAATCCAAAAGCCGACCCAACCAATTTAATTTCATGTCCAGGCAAAACTACCACCGATCTTCAGGGAGGAGTGGATCAAGGAATTTCTCGAGGGGGGACAAAAAATTTTGTCGACCATTTTTTTTAGGTAGACCAAATTTTTTTTCTGAGCTCACCTATCCCTCTACAGGCCTTAATAAGACAAATTTTTTGCGCCGCAGGCAAGTTGTCAAAAAACAGGCCGAAAAAAGCGTTTTTATTCACTTTCTTGAAAATTTTTGACCAAAAAATTGCGTTTTTTCGGCGCGCTCTCCCCTCATTTAAGAAAAAAATTAAGGTCAGTCAGCCAAAACTATATATCTCAAAATAGTAGTAGAAAGAAGGATCCTTCGGGTCGGCAGAGGTTCGAACCCCTGAGGGGGAGGCGTCCGCCCATCTAAATCCGCTAGTGTTTTTAGGTATATCGATAAGACCAACATTTCAACAAGTCCAATAGATAAAAACTAGCTTTAGTTTAACAAATTTAAGAATGAAAACAACACACGAAAAGAGTTTAAAAAAATAGATTATAATTCATTATAATTGATTAAAATTGATTATTTTCTTTTGATACAACTTTTTGAAAACAAGTTGAAAATAATTGATTATCATTGATTATATTGGGATTTAATTGTTTAAAAATTTTTATGATTTTAATCCATTTTCAATTGATTACAATCGATTATTTTTGTTATTTTATAGAGACTGACAATGAAAATCCAAAATAATCTATTATTATCCATGAAACTTCAGTGCGGGAAGCTTTCTTTTTTTGTTCAAATTTGTGTATTTGAGCGTGGTGTGATGAGAGGAAAGATGCGAGCTCCAATTGAAAATTAAAATTAATGTCATAATTGTCGCAAATAGTTGTTTTCAAATTTTAAAAAACAGAAAAAAAATAATTTGAGATTCGAGAAATAATTTGAGATTTTTTCGATTTTTTCAAAAAAATTTTGCTAGGGAGTTGCTAATTAAAACTTCAAAAACTGCTCAAGTGGCTCAAAAAAAGGTTGAATGAGAGCAATTTGACGGATTTTGGAGAATTTAGCTGAAGGATTACTGAGTCACAAATTGGCTGCTTTTCTGAGTATCAGAATTATTCTGCTCGATTTTCGGAATCAACACTGTATGAAACCCCTTTACCGCGTTTACCGATAATATTACTAAGTACAAACGTGTAGTCGTTCATGTACTAGAATTTTAGCAGCGGAGTCCAATGCATAACACTTAACAGGTTGACGATGATTACACTGACATTTCACTCCAATTCGAGAAGAGGCTTTTATTACGGTTTTTATCAGGAATCCGCTTAGTTGCTATATTATACAACAATATGTCAAAATTTGTTTCCAGGGGAGGAAGGGATTTGGTTACCTCGTCGGTGCTGGTGTCCTGCATGGTCCTGGCCATCATGGTGAGGAACTCCGGGAACTCTATCGTGCCACTGCCGTCTGCGTCCACTTCATTAATCATGTCCTGCAACTCGGAGTCTGTGGGGTTCTGGTCCAGACACCGCATCACAATCGACAACTCATCCGTCGATATACTCTCCGTGTCTTCCTAACATTCAAACGATCAAAACTAGTTACAAAACACTTTCCTACACTTCAGTTACATACTTAGTTACCTAACATAACCTTGTCAAACCAATTGGCTGCGTTAAAATAATAGTATACCTATAGCGGATTGCGCTAACAAAATTTTTGAGTCGCGCAATGTCGTGACTTGGGTCGCAACGGTTGCGCTAAGTCCGGAAAGTTGGGGTTTAAGAAATAAGGGGTTTTAGATTGTGTGTGGGGGGGGGGCAAATTAATCCTTAACCGCAGCTTGTTTCATCTTACCCCATGAAAGAGTTTGAATGCTTCCTGGAAAACATCAATTTGTGCTTGTGTGAGTTGATCCGCCATCTTTCATACCATTCAAACAGACGTTATAAAATTTAAAAATAACTTAACAGATCGATTTATAACAAAAAGGCCCAAATTTATAACTTGTCTGTGATAATACCACAATAAACGTCAAAAGCAAAGCATTTTAAATAAGATTTACAACTTTTCAAGCAAAACTCGCATTACATATCGTCAGCTTTAATTTGCGTCAATTCAAAACAATCGGCATTATGATTGACTATAAAACAACTTCTGCAGAGCTGATGGTTAGTTGGAGCTTATAGCAATTAAAGTCTGTCAATGAGTTAAATTTGTTCATGAAGGATTGTTTCTATCATTTTAGTATTTGTGACTTCGTAATTGTTATTGTTTTTTGGTAATTTGTTATTGTTTTTCAAAGCTAGCTGATTTTTCTTTGTCTTTTTTGCATACACTATTGAAAATGAAAAAGTAATTCTGATATCATTACGTGTAACTGTTTTAGAATCATCAAACTGCCAAAAAACACATAAAAATATCATTATAGAGACTCAACTTTATAATCTAAAATATAATGTCTGATGTCTGTGCGTTCAATGTCCACAAAAATTTAGTCTGTGTAACGTGTAACACTATCTAATATATTAGCCGACCCAAAGGGTCCCCCTTTGATACTTTTTAAGAAATCCATTTTTGGCCTACCGACTCTAAAATTTTTCTATATTAACTATTTTTTGAGGGGGAGCGCGCGCCAAAAAAACGCGATTTTTTTGTCAACATTTTTCAAAAAGAGCCCAAAACCGGCTTTTTTGACTGTTTTTTGACTCGAAAAATTAATTTGGTCGACCTAAAAAAAAAAAAAGGTCGTCAAAATTTTCGAAATTTTTTTGAAAATCCGCCCCCCTCGAGAAAATCCTACATCCGCCCCTGTATGTTTAAATTCTTGCCCTGACGTTCAAATTAAGTGACTATAAGCGGGGGGGGGGACTTGGAATTTCTGAGAGAGTAATTGAACCAAACAGCTGATTGTGGATTCATCCCAGCATGACTAAAAAAGACCAAAAACTTCTTTTAAAAGTTCGTGTTTTAAACAAGATAGCCAATGATTTGAAGAAAAAAAGAGCGCCCCTTTTTAACTAGAATCCAAACAGTCTTTTGAGAACAAAAAAAACATCAAACTTTCATCTTATTGGATAAGCTCTACTTTCATTATAATGAGTCGATTTATAATTTTTGCATAATTATTTGTTCCCGTACCGAAGTTTCTCTGATATTAATCAATTATTAGGCGATTATATGTTCGCAAAAAAAAACAAACCCTCTAACAATCGATTATCTGACAATTTTATGTTCGAAGACAAAAAAAATATATTATATGGTCAAAAAAATTATTAAACTATTTTTATTTTGTGCCAATCTTATTGAAATTATTGGAATTATTATAGGTCTTCATTTTCTATGTTTAATACAAGGGAAATTTTTTTTTGTTTAATCGCAATAAAATCTATTGTTTTTTCTCCATATTATCCTAACGTGAATCAATTGATGTATCATACAAGGAAAACAAAATCTATTTTTCGCCATATATTCGCAATAAAAACATGACTCATTGTTAGCATGACTTTCATTTTTGAAACAGAAATACAAATCCTTGCTTTAATAAAATCTTTTTACTAAAGGATGGTAAAAGTATAGCGAAATTATTTTCCGAACAAAAGTTTTTTTACTCCTAATTTTCAGTATATCAGCGCATATTCATCGTTCATTTCACTCCTCAGTTTTTTTGTCTTAGATTCTTTTAGAACTAAAAAACATCCGAAAAAACTTCTATCAAACGTTTCTAGCAAAAATTTTCACGGAAGAGTTTCAGCTAGCTCTTGGTTGCAATGTTTTATTCTTGTTACTATTGCTTTTAGATTTAGTTGCTTGTTTATGCATCAAATTTTGCTTTAACGTATTTGAAATTTGAAATGATCAGGATTTTATAAAATTTTCCAGCAAAAACTAATTTTTTAAAAAGATTTTCAGTTGATTCATAGTCGTGATATTCCATTTTTATTGCTTTTTTTAAAATTGAATTGCTTGCTTACGCTTCACTTTATTGCTTTAGAAGCTTTCAGACATAAAAAAAAATCTAACAAAAATTGACTTATTACTGACAAGTTTCAGTTGTTTCATGGTCGCAAAAATCCATGCTATTGTTTTTTGAATTAAATGCTTGTTCATGCTTCAATTTATTGCTTTAAATTGTGTTGGAACTGAAAATTATCAAAATTTTCCAGAAACACTTCTAGCAAAAAATTTGATTATATTTTGAAATTGAGAAAACTGAGATTTTATAAAAAAAAATTTTTATTGCAACTATATGGCAATAAAGATTTATCTTGAGATTCTATCGCTACAGAAAAAAGATTTTTCAAGAATTGGAGATAAAATTTGATTTTGGTGGATTGGTATGCAGTATAATCGTTGTGAAAATAATCAACTTTCTAGCTATTTGATTAGAAACTGCAGGTAGCCAGTTTTTACAGCTAGCTTTGAGCAAATGCAATTAAAAGTCGGTGCGGATAGTCAAACTAGGCAGCTAAATCTAAGTGCGGAAGCAATTAAAATTTCCGTGCGGAACCAATTAACTTGATAAAAGAAACTGATTGCGTATGATGTTTTAATTAAGGAAAAACACGCTAGGAAAAATATAGTGATCTCAAATGCTTGAACATAGCCAACGGAAATTTAGTATCAACTTTTTTCATTTCAGGTTGATACATTTGTACAACCACAGCGTTGAAAATAAGCAAAATGTTAACAAATTTGCTGCTGGAAGCCGATTTTTCTATATTAGTTAAATATTGATTCTACAGAATTCTTGCCAAGAACGCAGATTTTCAGTCGCATATTGTAACAGCCAAGAGAGAAGAAAAAAAAATTTGCCTCTGACAACTTATGCTACAGGTTTAGCAACTAAAACATAATTTTAAGTTTTGCGTTACGTAGAATACCATTACTGATGCATAAAGTGCTGATTTAAGTTATCCGAACAAAACGCTTCAAATTGAAATTTAAAACGCGTTTTTCTCAATTTGGGTTGATTTTAAGTGAAAATTGATGACGACAAAATTTGCTTAGAATTTCAACAGCACCAATATAGTACAATTTATTTTGCGAAAATCGGGCCCAAATTTGACCCCAATAAAGGACCATTTTTTGGTTTCTTCTGGCAATCAAAAGTTATACCGAAACTACCGAGGTGATCACTGACAGAAAAATATCAAAGTGAGTCTTCTACGTAGTCCAACAGAATTCAAGAAGGGTTTAACCTCCAAAACATTGAATAAATAGGTTTTTTTTAAGTTTTCAATTTCAAATTTTTTATTTCAAACATTTTTAAAAAGTTTTGCGCAATTTATTGGAGCTATAAAACTTCTTAAACTTTAATGGGCTACGGAGGAGGCTCACTTTGATATAATTATGTCAGAGATCACTTGGGTGGTTTTGTGTAACTTTTGATTGACTAAAAAGCCAAAAGAGTTCTTTTTGGGGGTAACATTTGGACCCGAATTTCGCAAAACAAATTGCACCACATTTTTTCTGCTAAGTACTAAGCCAGTTTTTTCTTCAACAATTTTTATCTGAATCAACCCATTTCGAAAAAAAAAATGTTTTAAATTTCAAGTTTCATGCGTTATATGCGGATAATTCAAATCAGCACAGTAGTAGCCCATCCGAGTTTGTTCAAAGAACTGCGAGTCAGAACACTTAATCACAAAAAATTTGAAAATTGGCATATTTTTCACGATGACTTCACAAAACCGGGGTCGTCAGAAACGCAAAAACCGACAAAATTGGCTAGTTTCGATCGTTTTGATGTATCTTTTGATATTTCCTTGACTGATGCATATTTTTGTAATAGAATTGGAGACAATTAGAAGATATGGCTTGGTAAAAATTAGGTTGTGAAAGAAAAAGTGTATAATGAGAAATACTCCACCAAAAAGATTGACAACCAGAGTTGGCCAAGAGAACGTTTGCAAAGCGTCAACTCCCATTATTAATTCATATTTCATATTTTGCAGGCAGTCGCAGCAAAAAATGTTGGAAAAATCAAGACGAGTGATGCCTTTCGCAGCTGAGGCAAAAATCAATTTTGAACGTTAGCTAATTTTACGCTTTTTCCTGAAAACAAAAAACACTATTTATAAAACTAAGTATCTTCAATATATTCATATAGACTCAAAAATGGAAAAGTGATAAAAGCCATTGTGATCGTGGTTTGCCCAATTTTAGATGTTATAAATAGGTTTAGATGTTCAATTATTTAGTATTACAGATGTATGGTGGTGGTTCTATCAAGACAGAGACGAAGCTGCGCTTCGCGCCTCATGCGATGAAAAAATGAATGACTATGATTAAACTCAAAATGAAAATAAATTTTTCGGAAAAATCGTTTGTCAAAAAAAAAACAAAAAAAGGCCAAAAAATCTGGAACAAAATTAACTGCATCTTAAAAACTTTGGTAGCGCTTTCCCAACGCTAGAAAGAAGTCGAATTTTCAAAAAACTCTGTTGTGGGAATTGAGGCAGCAAAAATAAGCAGACACAAAAATCTAAAATAGCCGAAAGTTTTCATGTGCTAAGAAACAGGTCCCGACTGGAATCGAACTCCTGCTCTCTGTCGTCTCAGGCATGAGTGTTACAGAAACTTTAAAAAAATTGGGCTACGGAATCAAGCCGACAAAAGTAGGGAGATGTACGGTAGCCCGGAGAAGCACAAAAACCAAGTTTGTAAAAAACAATTTCCAGTCGGATCTTAACACAGGCCTTTGCCGTCTCAAGTAATTGTGTTGTCTCTACGACACATGCGCCGGATGGTTGACTGAATTTATAAACAGAAAACATGCATTTGAAATAAAACGGAAATTAAACGAAAAAAAAATCTAACAAAAAATCGCTTAGTTTTTTCTTTTTAAACTGAAAATTTTAGTGTGCTTAAAAAGCGCGTTAAACAACATTTATAAAAAACCTTTCATTGTGTAACCTTAAAATTAATAGATTAAAAGACATTGTATTTTCTATTAAAAACAATTAAATAGAATTAAAAAAAAAACACCCGGCAAATAAGCCGACAAAAATTGGGCTGAAATCATTTAAGCCTACAAAAAACCCGGTTTTACAAGTGAATTTTTTTTACCAGTAGATCCAGTAACGCATTCAGGCTCTTTTTCCTCTCCCTACCTCGCATGAACGTCAATTTTATGGAGTAACGAGTGGTTTTACAAGGTTAAGTATGAAGACCAAATATCCTTGTTAGTATGCATGCCAATTTTCGTAAGAGTCGACCAAGTGAACAGAGAATATACTAGTAAAAGTTCGCAGGAAGAGGGAAGGAGAAAGAGCCCGCATTCACTCTACGCACAATTAATCGAGGTGTCAAGCGGGCTGGAAAAGGAGATCTTGAAATTGGAGATCATCCCGTGAACTAAGTTGTTTACGAGAAAAAGTATAGTACCCGATTGCAATACCCTGGCTTATCGCAAGGGTAATAGCACACAGGAACAAAATAAATAATATTATAATTTGAATCTTAATGAATGATTACTCAAAAACAGAACAGAAAAGTAAATTCAGAATTCAGGACAAAATGATAATCATGTGCAATTTATAAGTTAAATTTCCTGTTAATCAAAAACAAACAGAAACATTGACCAGAAACAAAACTCAAGACAAATTATCAACCATCAGACTGAAGTTTTAGAAAAATATTCAATACAAATTCTTCAAGTTTTATTCAGTTTTTCAAATCAAATTTAGTCGGAGAAGACCTTTTTGAACTTGTTCAACTGGTTCACCACTGAGCGTTTGAACTCCTGCATTTCGGCTAACTGGTCTTCTAGACATTGAACTCTATCTCGCAAATGTGCCACTTCTTCCCGCAATGCTTCATCGTGCTGCGCTTCTGAAACAATGTTTCAATAGAATCTTTTCTTTCAAAAGCTATTTGCAAGGCAGTATTTTTCCAAATAAAATAGGTAAACAAAAAACGCTGTGAAGTCTATTGAAAAAAGTTTGTATAATGAGCAAGCAAAATGGGTTTACCATCATACCTGAAAATTATACAAGCCAACTAGCGGCACAGCTAAAGCTGGAGGTACCTGTTTGATAATTTTTGATTTTGTTGTACTGATGCGGGATGAAATAGGTTACTTCAAAAACTTTGAAATTGGGTTTCACCCAAAACCTAGTTATGGTTCTATTTAAATATGAGTAAAATTTTTGTGATTTTGGAATTTTCTCAGAAACATAATTCTTTTGAATAAACTTAAGGGCGTAACAACTTATGCACGGAGGCGTCCCACAACCTGTTGCCTCGACGAAACCCTTGAAATCAGACTGAGCTGTTTTCGAGAGAAGTCAAAAAGATTTTAAAAAACGGTCGACAATTCGGGAGCAACAGCTGATGCAGGGGAGCCTCCCACAACCCATTCTACCCATTGAAAACAAAACCTCAGATAGGGTAGTTTCCGAGAAAAATCAAGAAGTTTCAAAAAACGGACTAAAAATCTAAAATTTGACTTCTCCGAGGATCATAACTTTTTGTGAAAAAAATGGGGCGTAGCCGATAATGAAGGTGGGCTTACCAGAATCTGTTCAATTCATGGAACCCAAAATCGTAGATTTGGGAAGGTAGTTTTTGAGAAAAAAAATCCAAAAATATGGGTCAAAAATTTCCCCACACACTTTTTCGAAGGCTGTAAAAATTTGGGTAAGGAGAGCCTAGGAAATTACGCAGGCCCACAGGGGAGTGGGCGGACTTCCCATTGATGACTTTCCATTGGTTCAGCAGAGTTGTTTTTGAGAAAAACTAAATTTTTGAAAAAAGTGAAAAAATCCAGAACGTCAAAAAAATATAAAAAACCCATCACATGCATTTTCATAATATCTGTTTTTATCAAACAGGAAATACCAGTGTTTATCATACAGGAATTAGAATTCAATAATTAACATTCGAAAGAAACCAGCGGAAGACAAGCTTTTAAAATTTTTGGTCATATTCTATCCACTGGCGTGCGCAGAAGTTTTTTAGGGGGGGGGGGGGGGGTTGATTTGCAAAAAATGGATGTCGTTAAACTTTACCAAAGGGTGGACCCTTTGGGAAAATTTGGCAACCATAATTGAGTGGGGAGAAACTATTGTATTCCACTGGGCAATCCACTTTCAAAAATTCAAAATTTTGCACCATTTGCAGCCCCTTTTTAAAAATGAATTTCAGTTGGACTTTAACACAGTGGGAGGTGAAGCGGGTCTTCTCTCCTGTTGCGACTCATAAATCTACGCCAGTTTTCAGGCATAAAAAAACTGTAAAACTGGCGACATGTTTCTGATTTTTCCAACTAGTGTAATCATATGGAAAATGGACTTTACGCAAAACTAGTGATTCTTCTGTATAATTAGTGGATCAGCCGCTTATCTAAAGGAGAAAAAGCACTACTCGCTCTTTCAATTGAAGTCTCCATCTCAGCTTTGGCTTGGTAGTTTTCAAAAAGTGAAAAAACTTCCACAAACGACCAAAAATTCAATAACTGGACTTCTCTTAAATCCATAAACTTTTCTTTCCTAAAGTCTGGGGAATCCTTTTATGCATGGAAGACTTCCACACCTTAAGTTTTAGATTGAACCCTTGATATCATATTTAGCTAGTAGTTTTCGAGAAAAGTGATGAAATTTCTTTCAAAAACGGTAAAAATTTCAAAATAAGGAGTTTTTCGAAGTCTTAGTCAGCTTCTCATCAAACAAATTGGCAGATTACGCAAACCAAATCTAAGTACTATGTTTGTTTGTATGTACTTTCAATATAAGAATCAGCAGGTTAATTTTTGAAACAAAAAATTACTTTCAAAACGAAAAAAAATTTGACACTATCAAGGCCATATTTTTTTCAAAACGAAGGGCAAAGCCGCTTTCGCAGTGAAGATTGGCATAAATGATTGTTTCTCTTTCGGTTAAACCATTAATCTCCGATTTGACAGAGTTAGTTTTGAGAAAAATTAATTAAATGTCAAAATAAGAAAAAGGGCTTGTTTGAGGCCATAACTTGTTTCTACTGAAATTAGGGAATAGCCGCTTGGAAAGGGGAGATTTCCATAATTTGCTATATTGATTGAAATCCTCATCTCACAAATTTTGGAAATTATTATTTGAGAAAATGAAAGAATTCGCAAGATATAGGTCAAAAATCCCGGTATTGAAAATTTCGAAGGCCGTAGAACGTGGGATAAAATGAAAAGAGACAAGCAAAAAATACAGGCACACAGAAGAGCAGCCGGTTTTTCTATTGTTACCTTGTTTTTGGAAATCGGTTCAGTAATTTTTGAGAAAAATTGATATTTCTGCGAAATTGAAAAAATTGTCCAATTTGGCAAAAAAACAACGAAAAATAAGAAAACCCATACTTTTCATTATATCTGTTTCTTTCAAAGAGGACCTTACACTAGCCAAAAATTAGCAGCAACGTATGCGTTTAACTTGATTCTGCCTAAATAGGCTTAAATATGATTCAATTGAAACATATCAAATGTGCCAGGTTTAAAACACCAATTCTTGATAAAATCAAAAGGATTTTCAACTTACGCCAATTTCTTTTAAGCGGAACACTTTTTTTTCAAAAAAATGGTCCTGTCTAGATTCGAACCTAGATTCTGGGTCTTCGGTGTGCCTGGCATGGACGTTAACTCTGGTTAAACGGGCAGCATCAGACCCAAAAATTTAGCTGATTATGAACCAAGCTACCAAATGATTCAAAGATTCGGTCAGACAGTGATAAGGCCGGATTTGAAAACACTTGCCAATCGCGAGCGTAAAGAACTGAAAGTCAAACAGCCGTTAAAAAATTCAATTTGAACGGACTTTTCTTCAAAAAATACAAAAAAACTAATACGTCTTTTCACTTCGTTGATTCACACTTTAAAACAAAAACCCACTTTCACGTTTAATGAGAGCCTTCTGCAATTTTTATTTTGGAGACTGCAACGTGCTTTCGATTTTTACAATGTATTTGACGCAATCTTAACACTAGCGAGATCACGACAAAAAAAGCAGCTTTATAAAGTAAAATAAGCCTCGAATTAGCAAAACTTTGCAATGTATCGGATTCCCCCGAGCTCAAAACTTAGATACTCACGCCTTCCCCTCTCAGCCACAGAAGCTTAACAATCGACCTAGATTTGCCACAAATAAAGTAGAGAATAAACTTCCAATGCTACATATAGTGATTAAAGCAAAAATGCCACCAAATGAATTAGGTTGGAAAAAGTAGTTGCATTAATACACTAAGCCCACTAGTATAAATAAAGCATTTAAAAAAAGACTCAAGCTCAAAAATACTTGAACATAGTTATGGGATGAGAAACTTCCAAGTGTCCTTAAAATGGCGTTTGGAACCTCTTTATACAAAACATTTGTTGTTTAAGAATATTGATCGAGAATTACATTTGAAATATATTTTGAAACTGTTTTGTTTGCAAGTTCGTTTACTGTTTACGTGTGTTAGGCAGGAAACTCGCGAAGTTTCAAAACCTTTCAATTTCTCTTACCGCTTGCAGTGTTGTCGATGTCAATATATTCACTTGACATCTGGGTGCTGGAATCTTCGTCGAATGCCGATATCAAATGACTCCTTGGGATACCTTCGTTTCCATTCGCCATTACTCTTCCGGGACCATCTCCGGATCCCGATTCGCTGTTCGGCTCGCGCTTGATCTCTATGGACGAGGAAGTTTCATTCGGACTGAAGATCTCAGCGGCGTCCTTTGGGGGAGGCTTTGCTTTGATCAGTCCTTTCGACTCACAGAAAGCGGCCAGGTCCGTAACAGCATTTGCTCCAGAACCATCATCTGCAAAAATTGCTAAACCTCAGGGCAAAAAAATTGAAAAACTACATTAATATTAATTGAAACAACTCGTATCTTGTGACCCGTGACATCACTGACGAAAATTTCAGTTATTTAATGCTCGCTATTGTCGATATTTTACTTAACCTCGACTTCAAAGCAAGAGATTCGGAGTTATTCGCAGTTTAAGGATATAGAAATTACGTTATTACGAGCAGGAACGAGCAAAATAACAGTTTCGACATGGGTCTATTACGTTATATCAACTACAAAAGTTTCCATTCATTTTTAAGGAAACTCCAATTTTAGCAGCTCTGATTGACATTAAAATGACACCCAGTATATACAACGCTCTAATATTGAGCCCATCTGAAGGTTGCCGGATAAGAACGCTTTCTGGAGGTAATTTCTGGGAAACAGAGTCGATTTCAAGAGGTTCCTCGGACCATATCGCATCCATAAGGTGTCAAGCATGCCGAATCCACTATCAGGTAAATTGCCAATGCATATCGCAACCACTAGCGCCAACAGGTTTATGCCCGAATGTGCCATTATCAGAACAGAATTGTGCCAGCTCGGATCAAGATGTCAACTTCAAGTGCAAATTGCAGATTGTGTTAATAAGCCGAGAGATGAGGTTCATTACATCACCACCGAACGCTTATTTTTCAGAAGACAGCTTTTTAAGACTCTAATAGTGCAATACATTATTGATTACAATAAGGCAAGTATCTAGCCTTTTCTTACGGAGAGCAGTTTCGACGAGCAAACTGTTCGAATCACTAGCAGGGCGCAAGTTTTTTTCTAAGAACACGAAAATACAAAAATGAAAAAAAATGGAGTGCCAGCAAGGCGGCTTCGCTGAGTTGAAAAAAAAAAACAGTGAATGCTTTGTAAAAGCAGTGTAACCACAAATTTTGGCCCATGACGTTGCAAAAGAGCTATAAAAACAGTAATTTTTTCTCTTTACACCAAAAACGGCCTTTAAATTTCTTTTTCGACTCGGACAACATGACAAACACTTTTTGCCAGTCGAAACTGCTAATAAATACTTTCAGTTTAGACTTCAATAAATTGAACAAAGTTTTAGTTATTTTAGTACTTTGATTGAATTTACATTTTTACCTCTATTTTCAAGAGATGTGGCTTAATAATAGATCAAAAAAGCTAGGATGCGACTTAATAATACATCATACATCTTGGGGAGCTGTGGCAAAGTGGTTACGTCTCCGCCTCTAAATCAACAGGTCGGATGTTCGAGGCCCACCATGTTCCGTGCTCGATGCTTGAGGGTGAGGCAACATTACCCAGCCAAGAAAAAAAACCAAACAATTGCACGTAGTTCTTCAACAAGGGAACAACAGCGGCTCGCCGTGATGAGCTGTACAGATCGTATATTTGTCCTTCGTGGATAAATGGTCTTAATTAATGTCTGAACTTGATTCTATGATAAGTCTGAACGTCAACTGAATCATCTTCAGAAACTCGTTATCGAATCAACTGCTGGAAACAATTGGTCCTCTGGAATACACGAGGCATAACCAATTCCACAATACAGCTTAGAAGCTATGCTGTTTAACGTTCATTCAACTCATAACCCTCAAATAAACAAAATCTAGAACACCAAAAATAATAACATTTTCTCAAAATAACAAAATAATAGTTCGACACCTATAAAAATTATAAGCAAATGTGATGGAATTTCACCCAAGCCGAACTAAAAGGTAAAAGTACAATTTCACACACTGTTTGGTTATGAGTTTCTGGCTTGAGTATAAAATAATAATTTATTATCAAATTCACAAGAACGAATAGCTCCTCATAACAAATTCCTTTGAAATGTCATTAAGCCCTAGACGTAAGCGGTATATTGACATTTGCTTCAAACATAGAAGCTTCAATTTGTACTTATCAACAAATTTTCGCAAGTCCGAATAGTTTACAAATAAGTTTCGAGTGAAGAGTTAAGCTACGGTAAATTACACCCAGTCTTGATCCTACTCAAGCATCCTCGGAGGTTCGGAATTATTTAAAGATGAGTCAAATGAAATGAGATGAACTAATGGTGTACTGAGAGAACTTTCACAAGTGGTGTTTAGGCAGCCGAGGCTTGACGGTACATAAAACTGCAAAGCAAATTGTTGCGGTAGCGTTTACAACTCTCACTTTCGTTTTTTTTAAATCTCTGATCGTCGAGAAAAATATATCAATTAGCATCTGCGAAAGCGACTAATTCAACAACAATTTATGATTGTCAGTCTTTGAATAAAATTATGAAAAATCCACTTTCGAAACTAGAAATCGACCAAGTTTTTCGTGAACTTTACACTTTTGCTGTTCGATGTCGGACTTCGCCTTTTTTTAAGCAAAGTAAAAAAAGTGAACTTAAAAATAACTCAAAAACGCTTTAAATCAAACTTGAGCATGAAAAAATGCAGGACTTTTTCCAGACAAAAGACTAATTAGAATAAGCAAACATTTCGCGACGACTGTCAAAAATGGCGTGATATATGGCTTCGCAAACACTAACGGGAACACGACAAAAAGCACATCTATAAAATGCAATAAGAAAAGGTAGAAGTGAGCCTCGAATTAGTAAAAATTCGGCTGCGTCTCGGATTCGATCTGCGACCCATTACGACCAAGCGATTATGAGTCTCACGCACTAACCACTCAGCCACGGATGCTTAATAAATCATAAGACTAAGCTATAAAAAAAGCAGAGAACATATGCTATGAAATTTCCAATGCTACAGATGATGATTATAGCAAAAGTGCCACGAAATAACTGAACACTTCTATTTGCGAGTTAGGGTGGAAAAAAGAAGGTTCGTACTAATACATAAGACTGCTCGCAAGTGCAATGATTATGAATAATGATGATTATTCCTGGTATTTTTTTAAATTCGATTTTCCTTTACAACGCTATTATTGAATACAGCCAAAATGTAGTTGGAAAAGAACCAATGAACGGAAAAACATAGAATAAAACTGATTTTTTTTGAAAAGCTTCAACTTTCGAATTTTAACTTTCGAATTTTGAAGAAAAAATAGAAGGCCTTACAGCTCTTTGAATTTCGAGATCATTTTATGGTTGATACTTTTTTGATAAAATTAACTCAATTTAAGAGATCTAGATCAATAGGAAAAGTTTTTATTTCGCTAAAATCTGAACATTAAGTTCCACTTTCAAAACCAGCAGTCGATCACGTTTTTTGTGGCCTTTAAGCTTTAGCTGTTCGATAGTGGAAATTGCATTCAGAACTTGAAAAATAAAAAAGAAACATAGCCAACTGACAGTTAGAAAAAGAGTAATAAACGCGAGTGAACAGAAAAAATAACACCGACTTTGTTTAAGAAATCTCAAATTTCAAAGAACAAAATAGATGCCCTTTGAATTTCTAGAATAATTTGTCATTGGCGCTTTTTTGATAATATTAACCCAACTTGAGAAAACTGGATCAATAGGCAAGTTTTTATTCCGCTGCAAATCTAAAAAGTAAATTCCACTTTCGAAACTTGAAATTTTTCATGTTGTTTCGAGCCATTTCCACGTTCGTATTTGGAGAAAGCTATTTACGTAACTTTCAAAAGATGAATTTTATTTGAACGCAAAATGTACATGCATAAGTGAATTCATAAATGCATTGATGAGTATGAACGCACATCTGTAGTTATTAGAGCGTTTTATGACTTTTTCCTGGAAAAAAAAACAAAATAAAATAACCAAGACTTATTAAGAGTATTCACTATATTCACAACTCTTAAAAGGATACGAATTGAATTGAAATCAAGAAGACATCATAAGTCAAACCGCGAAAAGAGACAAAAGGTGATATAAGGGCAAAAGTCAAACCGCGAAAAGAGGCAAAAGGTGATATAAGTTTGAAATAAGCCTCGAAAAATATTTGAGCCGGAATCGAACCAATAATCTGTAGATTAGGAGTATCACATCCTCGCATCTGCACCACCCTCGATTGAAAATAGACAAACACTAGCCACCAACAAACAGAACAGATGCTATTAAATTGCCAACACTATGCAGCAAACTTACAAGCAAATTAGCTATTTCATTTGCTCCGACCGATTGCGACCTAGAGATTATGAGACTCACGCACTTATGAGCCACGGATGCTTAATTACTCACAAACACTAGCCAGAAATAAAACAGAGAACAGATGCTATGCAATTTCCAAATATGCGAACACTTTTATTAGCGAGTTAGGCTAGAAAAAAGAAGGTTCGTACTAATCACTACGCTGATCGCGAGTGTAAATCACACTACCCACAAAAACCGACGCTAATTTGAAAAGTAAAAGAAAATTTTTTTGTATTTATTTTCATGAATATGGTCGGAACATTCTAAGCTACTTTCACAGCAACCGGCTATCCTTATTTATTTCATTTTTAGTTGGCCCATCTCAATAAAACTCGGAGGGTGACACAGTCAATGTGGATGAAAAAACATTAAAAAGCATTGCATGCAGTGAAAATTGGCGTAAATACGATGACGAACCTTGAGACACAAGTTGCAGATTACATAAGAAGGGATCGTTTGAGAATTTCCTGGGCATCGAGACAACTTTCAGCTGAACACAGCTGCCTATCACAAGCCCTTTGAATTCATCCAGCATTTCAGGACTACTTAACTCCAATAAATCACCTGAAAAAAAATTAGTAACTGTTTCCATTGATTTGACCAACTTTCCGAATAAAATAGCTTTGATTACCGCAACTTTGAGACTGGTTATTCGCTTGAAAACTAACATACGCACACCTGGTAATTTTATGTTCAAAGTGACATGTAATCACACCATCAGCTGTTTTAAGTTTAGCAGCAAGACTTTCTCGTCGAAACTGAAACTTTTAGCATGAATTAACACAACCTAGCGTAATTTCTCATCAGATGGCGTGGTATTAGATAGTTGAAGTTTTTTTTCTCACCAGGCAAGGACACTTTGATGGCTTGTGCCGGAATGACCATCGAGGTTGGGTCACTGATAGAGATATCCGATGTCGGCGACTTTACATCCGTAGTCAGCGCGAACTCCCTCGGAACTGGCTTCAATGTAGAAACCGAAACCTACAAACAGATGCTAGAGCTTTAGCAACAAAATAACATTCCTCCTTTGTTTGTTAAGGGCCTCCTCCCCCAAAAAATATCCTTTCCCCGCACATCCTGCTCCAAAGCACTTGAGGATGTAAACTTGGTTCTAAGCTGGAATTTTTGGAAAACCAGAATTGCGTTATTTTCACACTGCGCTAAGCAAATTTAATCAAATCAAATATTAGGTTAAAAGATGTAAATTTGATTCGAGCTTTAATAACGTCTTATTTATTGAGACTTCAAATACACATAAAATGCATCATGATTTCTTACACATTCACTCATTAGATTTATCAAACTCTTCGTCCGAAATTTCTTAAAATCATTAAGTTCTTAGACTACTTCAGGACTCAATTTTTAATATTACATATTTCTAAACAGAAATACATTTCCGGAAGTTCCAAAAACAGATGCTCGCTGAATCAGAGTTAAAATAATACTAAATTTGTTTCAAGTATCTTTCTAATTAGTACACTAAAGAGGACGTCAAAAGGCAGTCGAGCCTGTCAAGGACTCCTCAAGAGTAAATCAAAATTAGCAAATAGTACCTTTCGCATGGTGCGTCCCGAGTCCACCAGGTAGACGTCGGCAGTGGTTTTTTTGGACTCGTGGTGAGGTTCGAACTGGACGATGTTGGCCCTGCACCACCCACTGTCATTCGTCTCCACACACACCAACTCAAAAGGCTGCAACCACAATTAGTCAGAACTCAGAACAGAAACTTACAAAACATAACCAACTTTTCTTGTAAAATATTCATGAGAAATCAATTTGCCGGGCCTTTTTGTTAGGTCGACCAAATTGATTTTGTGAGCTCTCCCAAACCACTATAAAGACCCTAATTTGACGAAATTTTCTGCGCCGCAAGCAAAATTTTGAAAAAAGGCCACAAAAAGGCGTTTTTAGGCACTTTTTGGAAAACTTCGACCAAATAATCGAGTTTTTTCGGCGCGAGCTCTCTCCTCAAAATTAGTATAGATTGGCGCCGAATGCGCCTTTAGAAAAATTTGATAGTCAGTCAGCCAAAAATGGATATCTCAAAATAAAACAAAGGGGGACCCTTTGGGTCGGCAGGGGGTCGAATTCCTGAAGGGGGGGTTTGGAGGCGGACGCTTCTTCCTAAATCCGGTACTGATTTGCCCTATACGTTCAATTTCAATGCATATATCAATCTACTAACATTTTAGATTTATAAACTTTTAGAAATCTTCCAATTATTATCATTTTTTTGTTTGCGTAGGATCCATTTTTGCCACTAGCATTAAATAACAACCCTTACAGGATGAAAAAGGAAGCGTTTTACATCTGCTGAATATTTTCCTTCGCAATGAACAAAACAAGCACATCAGAAAACGTTTTTCCTCCTTTCGTCCAATTCCCGGTGAACTATAGAGCTTAGGCATTTAAAAATGTAATTTTGGGTGATTTTATGAAAATACTTCGAGAGAGCTCCAAAAGATTAGACTCGCGATAAAAACGCCGAGATCCTTGAAAAGAACGCAAGCCACTTAACGACTTTTCTAGGTCGACCAATTTGATTTTCCGCGCGCTTCCAGAGTTCTGTACAGACGCTATTGTGACAAAATATTATGCGCATCACGCAATTTTTTAAAAGGTCAAAACGCTGTTTTTGGGCAAGTTTTTGAACAACAAAATTGCGTTTACTGAAGCGCGCTCCCCGTCAAATTTAGTGTATAGTAGATAAAGTCGCCTTCAGAAAGAGTTGTATTGGACGGCCGAAAACGGATGTCATAAATTAGTATCCCCAAAATCCGCCCCTTATCAACAAAAGGACGACAAAAGCTAAAACCCACCATCTAAGCCCCATTTAATTTCTCTTATAATTTTTGTGATATACTTCCTATTGAAATTCAAAACCAAATAGCTGCTCAAAATTATTACTTTCCGCTCAACTTACAAAGGGAGTATAGTAGGGTATTTCCGGCATCTCAAAATTAGGCATTGTCTCATACAACATAGCCAAAACACCCTCTTGTCTCATCTTTTCACACTCCAGCTCTATCTTAGCCGCCACATGGTTAGTCGCTTGTGGTTGATGAACATCTTGTCCATTATCACCGTTCTGGTTCAATTCTTCGGGCATGATTATGGACTGTACTTGGACATACATGTCCGTAGGCGATGTGACTTGAGTGATCTTGCCTGTGTATTGCACGTTGCGCTGAAATGGACAAATCGCATAACTTTTGCATATAAAAACAGGCGCCGAGTCGAATCAACCCTTGCTACAACCCACTAACTTTTATGCGAATAGGGGCCAATTGTGGGTATCTTTTCCACTGCAGTGAGGCCTCCGTGATCAACACATCATTCGACTCGTACAGCACTTTCGTCAAAGTGTAGTCTTCGTCCAATTGGGCCTCAATGTCCACTCTGTTGTAGACTCTGCGCATCACAGAGTAGAGCACCTCGTCTTTGGCAGTCGGGTCATGCATCAACGCTTCTCGGAGGTTCTCAACAATAGCATCCAACTGCTCTTTTTCCACCTGCCAAAAAACACAAACAGCCAATGAACATGTTAAATTTATACACTTTGTACCTCTATGCATTTTTCTCATTTACAATAGGATAAAGGGGTAGTTAGCTCAGTAGATTTACCGCCGACAATAAACTTGGAAACGAATTAGCTAAATCAGCCAAATATCTTATTAACAACATCTTTATGAACACTTCAGAAAACTGTCACTCAAACTCTGCTAAACGCTCATGGCTTAAAAACTAAGTCGCCAGAGAGAAAAAATCGAGAACTAAACTGAAACAAGAGTAAAAATTATAGCTCCGAAGGAACCAGAAAAGTTGAGAAAAGTTTGCGCATACTTTATCTTTGAAAAACTGCAAATCTGAACTATAATTAAATGTAGGAATTCATTTTTTTCTGCGATTCTCATGTACTGCTTTTCACGACCCTTTATAATGGTTGAATCTGTATGTATCTCTCTCTCTCTCTCTCTCTCTCTCTCTCTCTTCTGGTTGATTACGTTTGCTAATAAAGCGAATCAGTCAACTATGATATAATGCGAGAAAAAGAACCTCAATATGAGAGAAGCAACCATGGAACAGCGACACCGGGTACTTCACAATACAGCTATGGGCAATCTTGAATAACTTCGAAGGCTCCACTTTCTTCGCTTCCCCGAAATCGATCAACTCAACCGAAATTTCACTCGACTCTTTTCCGTCCTTTTCATTTTCAGTCGGAGCTGGAGCGGAAGAGGAGATTTGTTCACTCGGCGAATACATGATGACAGCTCTACGGAACAGATCTTCGCCCGAGTCTGATTCAGTTTTGACGAGGCAAACTGTCCCAGCTGTAAGCACGTCAAGGCTAAAATAGGAGGTTTACTAAAAACTTCAATAAAATTTAATTATCATGACAACCAAGTAAAAATGGAAAGCCTCATTAAAAATTAGTTTCACAAGTATCAATTGAACACAGAGGCAAAGCGAGGATTTGTACAACACATACATAGCATGGCAAACCAACCAAAAGAATTAGAGATGAAAACCGCAGAAAAACAATTCGATTTTTTTAAAATTGAAAAATTGATCAACCAAAAATTTTCCTATCTTTCTCTTGAAAAAATTCCTTTGAAGAAAAAATGGCAATAAGCGAGACCATTGATGGAAAAAAAAGCATCGATAAAACACTTCAAAGCGGTAACAAAGCAGGCAATTCTTGAGCAGAAACACGATGCGCCGACAAAAGAAATGTTTTTTTTTGCTCTAACTAGTTAAAAAGAGACCTCTAAGCCAATATCGTATAATCCGAAACCTTTTCACCCTCAGGCAAACAAATAAAAAAGAAAAGAAAACGAAAAATATATACTGAGTCAAGGCATCTAAAGAAACGAAATCTGACTTGTTTTTGAAAAAATTTCTGAACTTTTAACAGATTTTACCGTTAAAATTGTTAATTAATGTTAAAAACAGAGTTAAACAATAAATATAACTTAAGTATAACTAAACATTGATTAATTAATCTAAAACGCTTTTTTATCATAACCCAACCGATTTCCATCATGAATCTCTATGCGCGCAAAAACGTTCACTAAATCGGGATAAAACACAAATGAAATCCTGTGTTTTGATACTCACTTTTCAGCTGTCTGTCCGGCAGAATTGAAGCTCTGTTGCATCTGGACGCTGAAATCTTCCGAGTGAACAATTTCATCGTTGTGCAATTTCGTCACCTGTAGAATGAGGTCTTTGTGGGAGTTAATTCGCACACATTCGGCCTTGAACGGTTTCCGAACATCTACGAAGTGCAGATCCGAAATGCAGAAATAGTCGCCAGTTTCACGCGCAGCTGTCGGCTTTTCTTTCCTTAACAGAAAACATAAACCCATTAAATTCAAAATTTACTCGTTAAGATTCGTAAAATCTGCATTTAAATTGACTCATTAATTAACAGAACGGTAAATAACAAGGTTTCATTTTACATAATTCCAAACTTTCTTTCAATGCGGCTCAAAAATTCAAATTTTAGACGAGTTAAACTAACTTTACTCGATGAGCTTTAGGTTGATGAGGCTTGGAGCTTCCTTCTCGTTGATTGGCAGGTGGTCCAAGACGAGACTGCATACCAGAATAGACCACTGAAATAATTTGAGAAATAATCATTCGATTAGTTTTTTTAAAATCGAGGAAACGCAGCGAGTGGTTCCGTTATACTTTAAATCTGTTTGAATCGACCCTCAAACTCAAACACAGAGAAAAAGCGGAGCGATACAAAACAAACCTAAAAAAGATAAGTAGCAAACAAAAATAAAAAAAATAGCCAACAAGACAGTTAGAAAAGTCAATGAACGCAAGTAAACAGAAAAAAAATGACCCCAAAGCTTCCCTAGTTTCAAGAACACTTCATGCTTGACACTTTTTGATAAAAATTAACCCAATTTGAGAAAAGTGGACCAATAGGTAAAATTTTCATTTCGCTGGGAAACATGATGATTAAATTCGGTTTTCGAAAACGAAGTCGATCACGTATTTCGTGACCTTTACTTTTTTGCTGTTGGATAGTGGAGTTTGCTTCCCTTTAAACTAAGAAAACGAACTAAACTTTGCAACCCAAAGTCATACCGCAAAAATGTAAATGATGGAAATTTCTATGAAAAAATTAACTCGATTTGAAGAACAGGTGTTTTTACTCGGCTGGGAAATCCGAAACTGTAAAACCATTTTTGAAACTATAAGTCGATCTCGTTTTTCGTGACCTTTAGACTTTTGTAATTGGAGAGCGCAACTTACTTAACTTTAAGCAGATGAAATTTATGCCAGTATATTTCTAGGCCTGCATCAATATAAGCTATACCATTACACTCGACAACTGAGCGACAGTAACTTCCTGAAAAATAACAAAAAAAATCATCGCGACTACGTTCATCGACTCTTAACAAAAAAAATGTCAAAACCTATATAAGAGTCTTCACTACGTTCACTACGTCTTAACTACGAAGCTTAATAGACACCAAACACTAGCCAAAATTAAAGCAGAGAACAAGTGTTATGCAATTTCTAATGCTACAGTGAAAGTAAGTGAACACTTTTAATGAACACTTTTATTTGCGAGTTGGGTTGGAAAAAAAGAAGGTTCGTAATAATACACTAAAAAACTTGCAATAAAACTTGGCATTGTGAAAAACCCGACTATTGGTAACAGATTTGTTTATCATATCTTTCATCGTAACTTAACGCGTTTAGCCATAATTAAAAGTAAAACAACAGAAAAAACGTAGCCAACTGACAATTCGAAAAGATTAATGAACGCAATTAAACTGAAAAAAAATACGGACTTTGTTTGAAAAAAAAAATCGAATTTTGAAAAAAAAATAGAAGCCCTTTAAGTTCTTTGAATTTCCAGAACAATTTATGATTAGCGCTTTTTTTGATAACATTAATCCAACTTGAGAAAAATGGATCAATAGGTAAAGTTGTTATTCTGAAAATCTTTTAATTAAATTTCTGAAAATTAAAATCTTTTAATTAAACTTCTGAAAATTAAATTAGAAATATTTCCTGCCTTTTCGCTCAAAACTAAAAACTAGAAATCTTTCACGCCTTTTCGCGTCATTTCAACGTTCGTATTTGGAGAGTGCTGTTTACGTAACGTTCAGCAGATGAGTTTCAATTGAACTCCAAATTGCATATATACCTAAGTGCATTCATAAAAAAATTACGCCTGAAAAAGAAAACAAAAAATCACCAAGACCTATATAACTACGTTTATTACTCTTCGACTGAAAAAATGAAAGGTGGGGGCCAACGCCAGAAATTAGCCTCGAATTGATAAAGAAAAAATTTACTAAGTAACGGATTCGATCCTGCTGCCTCGAGATTAAACGTCCTTCCTTCTCAGCCACGGACGCTTAGCAATGGTCAAACACAAGCCAAAAAAGCAGAGAACTGATGCTATGAAATTTCTGATGCTACAGATTGTGATTATAGCAAGTGCCACAAAATGATAATTTTACTTGCGAGCTAGGTTGAAAAAAGTAGAGTCATACTAACACACTACCCGGTTACCCCTCCCCCACCTTACACGAGCATTAATGTAATGAGTGGTTTTACAAGGTTGGCCATGAAGACCAAATATGTTTTTCATGGGCTAATTAGCCTGCATGTCAATTCAGAACAATCGGACAATGTGGATAATAAAAATTTGCAGGTGAGAGAAAGGAAAAAGAGCCCACTACACTAGTTAGTGTAAAAAATGCTCACGAATGACAGATTCACCCCTTCCAAAAACAACGGAATCTTACTTGGTCGATTGCTGTTTGCACTGTCGTAGCCTCCCCTGCCAGCACTGTTAAAAGCACCGCCTCCGCCTCTGCCAACTCTATCGAAGGGTCTGCCACCTGATGACATAGTCTTATACTGATGAGCACCGCCTCTGTTTACTGTCTCGCCAAATGAGTTATGATAACCTCCTCCTCCTCTGTGAAACTGATCCCCCCTGTTGAAATGTTGATTAGCCCCACCTCTTCCGAATTTATTTGCTGCGGGGGGCATACATCCAGCGTGCGGTAACGACTGGTCTTGATAATAATCCTGGTACTGTGCTGTTACATTATTAGCTGGCTTTTCAAACTGGTTTTGACATTGATACTGTTGTTGCTGTTTCATTTTCTCGCGGTGCCTTAAACAAATTTTAGCAACATTAGCTGCTAGAAAAGGAAAATCATGAAATACCGATGCTTCGCATGTTTCAAGCAGTTTCCTGTTAAGTTAGAAATTAATCAAGCTTGGGAGTTTCAGCAGCTTCCAGATATATTATATTATATTGCATCAATTTTCAAACTTAACACTGCAAATTTCAAGTTCAATTTTAAGTATTGGCGAGGGGCGAAAACTTGATCGAACAACTAAGAGACCAACGAACGATATTAATGAAAATGTGCCGATAATGTCATTTTTGGGCATTTTTAAAGGTTTGACTTGAAAAAAATTGCGCAAATAAGTGAAACAATACAATTATACGGGGGTTTCTTTAAAAAATTCTGTTCATTATTCTAAACCATGTGGTGTCCAGCAAATCAGACGACAGCTGTTCAAACAGTTCATTTTAAATATTTCAATGCGCATACATCATGTCTTAATGTCATGTCTTGATTTGCTGTCGTCCTATTTAACTAGCACCCAACGATGCACGTTGCGCTTAAATTATATCTGATTTTAAACTCTTTTTTTTGTTGTGTTTAAACTCAATTTGTTTTTTCAAATTAAAGCATTCGAAGAAGCAAGGGTATATTATGTGCATTGAAAACAACTCAGTTACAGTTTTTTTCATATTCACCCAACAAGATATAAATTTTACAGGATCATAAGCGGGGTTGAAAACAAGGGCATAAATTGGAACTCACGATCTCATGTGTTCTCTGCGTCGCGAGTACATCGCATTCAAAATCATGCCTTTGAAATTGTGATCTCTGAGCACCCCCAGAGCAGTTGCCGCATCCGAATCATTCTCGAACTTCTGGAAGCTAAAACACTTTTTCATCACAGAAAGATAGAGTAAGGATGTCAGTGTTGAAAAGAATAAATGATTGCGACAAAATTGCTGCAATCCACTTTTTCTTAAATTTTGATGAGAAAAGTTTCAAGAGAAACACCAACGACTCATTACCAAACAAACTGGGTTTTATCGGGGCTTTTTAGGCACACGAGCCAATGGAAATCATTTGGTCAAAAAATGAGAAAATTGGATTAGAAAATAAATACGATAAAATAACAACAGAAAAACCATCACACAATTTAGCAACCCTTGCTGATCGCTAAGTAAGCAAGAGTAGCCGGTTGCTGTGCAATAAGCTCAGAAATTGTATTCTAAAGTAATTAACACTAAATAGCAATAACGGCACGGAGCAATTTCTACAACTATCAAATTTAAACACAGAGGCGAAGCTGCACTTCGCAAACACTATTTTAATGTCACTATTTTCACTATCAGCATCAATAATTTCAAAAACCGCAGCTTGCAACTTGGGTCTGTATAATGTTTAAAAGCTCTTTTTACTGTATTAAGAAATCATCTAAACTTGATGTTTCATACTATATTTGTATCGCCTTGAATAATCACGCTTTTTTCTCATATTTTTCAGCACCTCTACTTTTTCAGGGTTGTATTTGCCCCTGTATGAAAATACTTCTGAATCAAATTCAATCAAAATTTTATGCTTCAGCCTGTAAACAAATTTTGCATCAGAAATTTCGGATTCTAATTAATTTTCCATGAGAAACTACAATTTGTAAATGTATTTGTTAATCAGTTGTACTTAACTGATTTCAATTATTATTATTATTATTATTATTATTATTATTATAGATTTAGCAACAGAGTTGCAAGGGGTTTTCCCCTAAGTAAGTCGATTGGAAATGAGTCTACAGTTGTTCCGGGTACAGTCACAGTAGAGTTTCCAGGTACATGAGTTGTCAGGATTGAAATATTGGTCAAAGTAGCGCCACATCCATTTGAGACAGCGACTCTTAAACCCGTCACTGTTGAAGACGTCAATGATAGGCGGTGCTAGAGAAATTAAGCGTGCAGTTCTGAACCAGAAGTTGTGTTCACATTGTCTTCTCCTTGGCCGAGTCACCTGGAACGAAGCGGACCGACAGCTTCTGGTAGACAATGGTGATATTACATCAGAAAAATCATAATCATAACGACCAGTTAAAATTTTGTTGTAAAGCAGTAAGTCATTAAGCTGAATAAAGAAAGGCAAAGGTAAGATATTAAGAAATTTCAAAGCGTCTTTATAATTCATGCCTGGTGTTATCCATCGGCATACCTTTCTTTGAAAGCCTTCAATTCGCTTCATTCCTGTAACGTTAAGACCGAATGCACTCGAGCTATAAAGCAGCTTGGGAAGAATCATACTCTTGTAGATGTTCAGCTTACTGAATACCGGCAAGAAAGGTGAGCTACGTTTCACCATTTGGAAAACTCGCATGGCACTATTAATTATAGTAGTAATGTGGAGTGTCCAGTCGAGGTTACTTGTTATGACTAACCCCAAATCTTTATGTACAAGAGCAGGAGGAATAACATTATCATCAAAATAAATACCACTATAGGAGCCACTGAACAATAAATGAGAGCATTTCTGTAAATTAAAAGGGATTTTGTTCTGTATACTCCAGTCGAAGACAGAGTTCAGATCACTTTGGAATGCTTCAGGGGAGCGGTCGAAACTTATAAACTTTGCGTCATCTGCACAAAGCAAGGAATATGAAAAGGAACACGAGCTCGGAAGGTCGTTAATGAAAACGAGAAAAAGGAGTGCTAATAAAAGTGCTCCTTGTGGTAATCCACTGGATATCAAAATCCCCTTTGAAAGCGAATTCCCAACCTTGACAACTTGAGTGCGGTTAGAAAGATATGACTGTAGCAAAGACAATAACTTTCCTCTAATACCTGTTGAATACAGTTTGCGTAGTAGGATTCCATGGTCTACACGATCGAAGGCCTTTTCAAAATCAGTGTAAATAACGTTTACAGGTTGACCGTTGTTGACAAATTTGTAAACGGTGTCCAGATAAATTATCAATTGTATGGTAGGTGACCTATTTTTCCGAAAACCAAACTGTGCGTCATGAAACCAGCCACTGTAGTGATTATACAAATCAATAAAGATACAACGCTCAAATATTTTTGAACAAATCGGTAACAGTGATACCGGCCGATAATTTTTGACATCTGCCTTGCTACCTTTTTTATATATTGGGATTACATGCGCTAATTTCCACGCTGTAGGATACAAGGTCTGTAGTATTTTCCTGAACAGCTGACAGAGATTTTGAGATAGATGAAGATGTGTGCTTATATATGGAGGCCGGCAATGAGTCAGGTCCGCTTGCTTTGTTAACATGTAAGCCATTACAAATCTGCATTACGTTGCTGTCTTCAAAAATAATGTTGTCGACGATTGGCAGTTCGGATTCGAATGACAATGAGCTTGGGTCAAATTCTGTAGAAACCTTATATACAGATGAAAAATAATTGGCGAATAAGTCAGCTTGTTCTGAGTCACCTTGAGCTATTAATGAATTGAAATGAATCTTAGACGGTAAGGCAGATTTGTTGAACGACCTGTAATACTTGAACAAGGAATTTGTGTTACGGTTGTCTGCCAATGAAATCTGGTATTCCAGCTTGTCTCTTGATATTAGCCTAACACATTCAAGTTCCTTTACGGCAACTTTTGAGTGACTAGTAGGCAATTTTCGCTTCAAAGTACTCAACTTTTTCAAATGATACGAGGTGTTTGAGGATATCCATGGCGACAGAGATGCGCGGTGACGTGTGCGAATGGGTACTGCTAGGGGTAAAAGGTTCTTGAACCAAATTTCCCATTCCTTCACTAAAACATTAACATTGGACCAGCACCGTCCCAGGAATGGTGACTCAAAAATAAGACTCAAAAATAAGACTCAATAAAAATAAAACCAGGAATGGTGACTCAATTAAGACTTTTTTCTTTCAATCTTATAGATATTGAAACATATCTCTGAAAAATATCTGTGAGTTTTAAGCTTTTAAACTTTCCTATGAAACACAAAATTTGATTATAGGCTCAAGCATAACACCTCTCTTGAATCTTGGCACTGCAGTTTTACAACAATTACAGGAGCTGAAAAATGTGAAGACAAAAATTGCGTGATTGTTCATAAAAGTACACATCCATTACAAGAATACATTTATAAAGAAATGTAGATGACTTTTCAAAACCGACTGATTTTTGAAAACAAGAAATGACCTATTTCGTGTAGCGAAAAGCTTTAATGTAAAAGCTTAAGGTCTCACCAACTTCCAACATTTGCTACCAATAAAGCGGATGCAACAAACTCATGCTAAACTGATAACGGTAAAAGAATCTGCAGCAAAACAGAGAGAACTTGTTGAATACTAATGTATAAGATAGGCTGGAAAAAAATGAATTCGTAATATAACCAGCGTTTGCTCGTGTATTGAGAACAACAATGAAGTAAAAAAAATGCAAACTTGCTTGAGAATAGATGCAAATATCAACTTCAGAAAAATGTCGAGAATTACCACTACCTGCATTTAAAAAAGCTTGTAGTATTTACCAAGCGGCCACTAAGCCTACAATACGTGGTTGGACGGCCATTGAGCCAAAAAAAAATTGAATGATTGACACTTATAAACCACAGTCGATTTGAAATATTTTTTTAAATAATCATCAACTTTTGCCAATCGAGCTAGACAAATAAGACTAAGCCAATAAAGAGTACAGAAGCAGGCAACTGACGCTGAAGCTGTGAGCAACTCGAGTTTCTTTGTCCCAGAGTCATCTGGCTGGAATCTCTTCTGTGTGTTTCTGTATTTTGTTTCTATGTGTTTGGTTTTTGTGGTTTGCTTTATGTCAAAATTCATGTTTTTCAGTGCTGGTGATGGCTGTATAGCCGAAAGTACTCCGAAATAAACAAGTTTCATTATCTTGTTTTTCACAATGATGAGAAAGAAAAGTATTAAGCCAATAAAATGAAAACCAAATCATGTAGACCGAAAAAAAAACAAGCAACGGTCGGGACTTGAACGCCAGACCATTCAATACAAGGCAGCCAGTTTTACCTCCAGACAAAGTGGAAGGGGACTGGATGTTGGTTCAATATTAAATCAAGTTCCATTTCCTACAGATTAGTAAGAAAATTAGTTTAACGGGAAAAAATACTTGTTCGTGATTACAAGACACTTTCTCCCGCAAGGTAACCAAAGCAAACCTGAACCAACTTAGCTTTAAAACACATTTTAAGGTATGAAAAATTTACCAGAACCACCAGTCGATTCCGTCTCTATGGATAAATTTGGTCGATTCTGGCTTCACTCCGCTCACTTGAAGAACATAGTTCGTGAACTCTTCCTAAACAGGTTTCCGACAAATCTTCTATGTTTAATCCAATGTTTTAACAGAATTATCAAGCCCACCTCTGTCGTTGATGGTTCAATTTTTTGGATATGTAATTTGTCCAGCTCAAATATTTCCGGATCATTGTTTGCATACGCAGATTGACCTTTACGTGTTCCAAATCCACCGCCACTAGGCTTGAAACCTGTGATGTTATGACCTTCAGTCATGAGCTTATCTGGAATATTTAAATATCATTTTGACACAGGGTTGCCCAATTGTATGTTATTTTTGAAAATAGCAAACTAACAGTAAACTATTGAAAAAACATGTTTTTATGTTAGACTGTTGAATAATTCAAGACATTAAGAAGAATTAAAGTTCTTGAAGAGAAATGCCAGTTTTCTAGCTTTTGGCTGCTAAGTTTGGGTATGAGATTCCCAAGAAATACCCACATTTTCTTATTTTTTCAAAACTGACTCAAAACAAATTAGAAAGTCATGCCAGCAAGGCAAGAAAAAATACATCAAGCATCTGTCATCATATTTTGCAGTCAAAAAAAATCTTGGGAGTTTTTTTTGTGACATTCGACCAGAATGGTCAAAATGCAATTTCGCATTCGATTTTTTATTGGAACATCTAACCGAGAAGATTGATGGTATTGATGAATTAGTGATGTTATTTGAATGATCAAACAAATTGGGAAAGGTTAGTTTTGACTGACATGCTAAATTTTAAAATTTCGATTTGGACGTGAACGACACGTAACCTTTTATTATTTCGCACACACTCAAACTGCGAAATCAGAACAACAGAATTCGTAGAGAACAACAGTAGTCTTAGTGACGACAACAACGAAAAAACGGCAGAAGATTGAGATTGTGATTAGAAATTGTCAGAAACCACTCCGAGTTGTAACGATCGCTGCAATCGTTACTGAGCAGTTCACGAGAACAAGGAAATGTGTTGGGACGACGTGTCCAGCTTTCCGGAAAGAAATAAGGACGTTATTTCCCCGGAATCCAGAATCCGCAGGATTGACACAGCGTAACTGTAACATTCGCCAGGAAGTACATATCGACGGAAAAAAAGCTAGGTTCTAAAACGACTGGCTAGCGTCTAAACACAGCTCTACATGCTTTTCAGCGTCTTTGCCAAAGCCAGTTCTTTTTGGTGATCTTTCTAACATCGGGTCGACAAAAACGTTACTGCTTTCGGCTTCGATCAAAACACTCAAATTAACTTAATTATATGCAAGAATAGTGAGCTCATGGCTGGGTCTCAGTATCCCCAGACCACGAGGTCACTCCTAAATACAGGGCTACTACTATTTGTTATACTACTATTGTTTTTGTTCAAAAGAAAAAAATCATCATCTCCATCGAAGATTGATCAACCCTTTCCCTCAACTCTTAGCTTCTCCTTATCTGAGAATGAATCTGGATGTTATTAAATTCAATTCAGGACATAACCAGGAAAATAAAGGTTTGTATAAAAGAGTTTGAGTTCAGGTCTCGAGACCCCTCCGGATTTTGGAATCAGTGAAAATAACGTTTTTTTTCCTTCGGGAAGGCTGGGCACGCTGTCCCAACACCCTTCCCCTTTCGCGTGAATTGCTCTGTAACGATTGTAGCGGTTTCTGATAATTCCCATTTGTATCTCGTTATTTTCTCGTCGTTAATTCTATCGCAACTATTGCTGTTGTGTTTTTCTTCATGCTTTTTTTTCTCCAAAAGTGGCCGTTTCGACGTTTCTCAGAAGTGTGACGTCATCATTCAAAAATTAAAGAAAAAATTAAAAACTCCAGAAGCTTTTGACCTTCACGATTCGCCTAATCATTTAAATAACGTCGTTAATCTGCTAAAACCGTCAATCTTCCAGGCCAGCGGCTATGAAATCGAAATTGCATTTTTTTTCCATTCTGGTCGAATGTCACATACTCCCCAGACATCCCGGTCAATGTCCTCTTTGAGTCTCGCAGTCGTCATCCAAATGGTACAGTGCCATTGAACAGAATTTACCAAATGCACGAAATCACTTTTATCCACGTCACATCGACTCACTGCAGAATATAAATGGCATCATACTACATCACTATAGCCTTCCAAATTCTTTCACTAATCTGCACTTTCAAGGATATGACTTAAGATAAAACATCTTTTTAGACTTCCAACGCCCATGTCCTGATTTAAAATTTTTTCTCCTAGTTTTAGAAAGTTTAGGAACGCAGGACAGTCCTGCCAACCCACAGACTAAAATTCTCCTACTATGTTTCTTCCCTTCGGAAATTTAGTTGTTAGTGTTCCTGAATATTAAACTAAGGAACTCTGTGGTTAGAAGGAATAATGAAATAATCTCCCTCTTCAAGAGATTACCCAAGCCATTCATGTGACCACAAAGTGATCAGTTGTCCTAGTTGATTAAAAACAATAATTCAGGCTGGAATATTTTAATATATTCTCCACTCAAGCCTTTCTAAATAAATACTAAGTGTCTCTAAAGCCACTAACTAAAATCAAAATGCAAAATAATATATGCAACAAATTCTTTAATCTTCAAAACTCAACTAAATGTTTTCTTTTTAGTTTCATTTGCAAACTTAGTTGCTTTGTTTCTCTTTTGAGTTTTTCGTCACATACAAAATAATTCTGAGTTTTAACATCTTCTCTTTCGCGGCTTCTTTGTTTCTTCCTTTGTTCTTCGTTTAGAAGTGCTAAAAATGCTAAATTCTTCTAATTTTCTTTCTTCTTGCATCTTGTTTTTCGGCCATTTGTCAATGCTCCATCTCCTCCTCCTGCGACATTGACTCCGCACTTTCAGTCTCTGTGTCTTGTAACACGTCGGTAGCTATTCTGACGCTGTTGGCAGCAGTCATCCAGCACTTTTGCTCTCCTACTCTTTGTTTACAACAAGGTAGAAGATCAACGTTGGATTCTCTGTTTCGGCAGAAGCTATTGTAGAGACACAACGTCACGTTTCTTTCCAAGTCTTCCTTCAACATCTCCTCCTTTTCCCTTCCGTCACATTCACCTGTTCCAGAAGTTCTCTTCACGGCGGTGATCACTGCATTCCGATGGGTTACAACTACTCGCTTGAAAGCTCCTGCTCCGATGTCCAGCAGATATACACTATACACTCTGCTATGCTTTGACATATGTTTTTTGGCATACTCGTACAACCATGCACTCATGTTGGCTCTAAACCATAGCATCAGTCTCCTTCTGGCCCATATCTCTTTCACTCCCATCGGAATGTTCAAGATCTTGCACGTAGTTTCAAAAAGATCCAAATCTTCTAGACAAAATCCTGTAACTGTTCTCTCGTCGGCGTCTGCTGTCTATTGTTCTCCTTTACATGAGCTTCCAGCCATCGTATCGCCATCATAACTCCCACTATCACTATCGTTATGGGCTTTGATGAGTCTGGTAAACCCATGGAGAGCAGCTTCCACAGTCCCAGATCAACACCAGATTACTACGACCGGGGTACCACCATGTTTGCAGTAAGCAATGGCAGGTAAAAATTCATCATGTGTTGACATGATGCTCCTCCAATTACGTTTTCCCAAAGCTTCCAGTAGTGGTTCCACTTCCATCATCACTCGATTGTAACATTCGCCCAAATATCACACAGCGACGGAGCGTAGAAAAAGTACCTATCAACGACTGGCAGGCGTCAGTTACCTTAATTCTACTCGTTTTTCACCGTCTCGACCTTGCCAGTTGATTTTCTGGTCTGTTTAGGGCAAAGTAAAAAGTTACCATTTTTAGGCCATCAGTCAAACGACTTTTGATCAGCTTTCGTTTGCATGCGAACACAACCACATAGCTGAGTCTCGGATCCTCAGACTACGTGATTGTCATTAAAAACACGGCTCGAACAACCTATTTTATTATGTTTTTGTGTGACAGTTTTATATTAAATCCATTGGAGATGGATTGACCCTTTCCTTTTTCTATCTACTCATGCTCTGAAATATTAAATAATAACGGTGTTAATTACGATCTAGGACATTACAGCAGCTGTTATAGTTAGTTTACCCAGTCCCTTCACATATAACAGTCTCTGGGGGACCAAGCCTCCGCTCCCGTGATTTTCTTGAGATAACACTCTTATCTCCTATATTTCGTGTCCCGGGAGGGTTCCGTGGTATTTCTCTTCCCCCCACTGAAGCCTCCGTCTCCACAAATATCCGTCGCTAAGGTCCTTATCGTGTGTTCTTGCCACGATAAGAGGCTCCGTAATTTTTCTGTCTCTGATACAACCGTTCTTCACAATTTCTATCGTGGTTCTGATTTTCGGCTTTTCTATTCAAAATGGCCGTCTTTTTTCTATTTCTCAGAAATGTTCTTCTTCCGATCGAAATTTTAAAAATAAAAATTCTAGAACATTCTGACCCTCCGTCGCTACACTTTTCTGTTCATAAGGCCTTTAGTCACTTTTATTTCTGTCGCGGGAAGGTTATGCTGTGTCATCTGGCAGAATGGCACAGATGGACTTCATCATTCTCATCTACTGCATTGTAATCCGTGACTGTTGATCCTTTCTGCTTCTGTCTTTCAAAGTCACTTAAGTTCCCACTGGCGTATCCCATGAACTTCTTTCCCAGTAACGAATCTAACTCCTCTTTGGTTCTCTCCGGAACTGCTGAGAACATTTTGCACAGTAACTCGTCAGATTTTTCTGACATTCTTGCTAGTCTTACGCATTTTGGCACTGAGAAGGCCTGATCCACGATCGTTCTCGTACTCTTCACATCCACCGCTACGAAATGCGCCGGGTATCTGCTTTTGCACATTTGAGTCAATGTCGATCCCACCAAATATCGCGCTCCTGACAGTCTGCAATAAGTTTCAATGTGCCGGATGTTCATTTCCGCCTCCATCGCTTCCCTCCACTTTCCTATGTGCTTTTGCTCAGTCTGCAAAACTCCTGGAAACACTTCTACACTGATGGCCGTGACCATCTCATGCTTCTGATCTAGATTCAATAGTGACTCTAAAGAACCAAAAATGTTGCAGAATTCTAGTGCAGTCACTAGATTCACCTCGGTCCCTCCATGGCAATCTGCAATCAGTTCCGTTTCTGTTTTCGCCTTCATCACAATGTTCCCAAACAATATCATCAATTGCTTGTGTTGCCTCTCCAGGGTCTTTACGCAGTCCAGACCGCCACATATGTGACCTTCTAGTCCACAGACTTCTGTCAGACAGCTACCAGGTTTGACCCAGTCC